CAACGCCAAAAAGCTATCGCGGTTAAAGCTAGAGAGGAGAGAAAGCTACTCAAAGCTCAAGAACTAGATGCGCGACGGCGGGCGCGGGCACAGGCAAAACTAGATCGTGAGAGGCAGAAAGCTGAAGCAGCTGCCCACCGGATAGCCCGCCAAGCCGCCCACAAACGACTTCAGAAAGCTATCAAAATCTCACAAAGGGGAAAGAAGCCTACCTTCAAGCGCTCTACTGAACTAGCATCAAAGAATATTATCGTTGGCAGTAGTAGTGGTGGTGCGCAGCGAGCTAATCGATCAGCTGCACCACCATCACCACGCTCGCGTTCAGGCCGCCCCATCAAGCTGCCAATCAAATATCAGTAGATAGATCAAATAAACAATACTACGAGATTACTATACTAGAGTTTCTCGCGATAATAGCTTTTATGTAGAGCTCTACAGCTTCAAGTTTGTGATAGTACTGTTGGGGAGAAATCCGGCGTTGGCCCGTCCGCGGCGTTGGCCCGTCCGGCACCTCTATATAAGTAAGAACATTTATAAACTTTAGCTTAGGCTAAAATAATCTTCTGTAGAATGGGCTCTGTAGCTAGCTAGCATATGCACAGACCAGTTGTAATTAGCAACGTGTGAAGCATGTGCGCGCGGGACTAAAGAGGGTTTGCATGAATGCAGAGGGGTTGCCAAAAAGACAGGTAAAAAGGGCGTTCAATTCTTGTTCTTCTCTATGTGCGTACAAAGTTCTCTTCTTATGTTCTCTGCTTCGGTCCTACAGTCACGCGTCAATAGTTTTGCTCGTTTAGCTCCCCCACCATAGCTGCACCAATAACAACAACTTCGTAGAATGCCTACCACCAACGCTGCGCCGCACCGATTTGGCCAAGAATTATCGCAAAATGCTCGTCTTGGGCCAAATATTACAATTGAAGAGCGAAATATCGCTATTGACATGTTAAGAGGTAGTTGCGGAGTGCCTGAAGTTGCTGCGCACTTTCACCGGGCGTGCTCCACCATCCGCCGCCTCTACCAGAAGTACAGCACCACCGCAACTACTCAAGACAAACCTCGCAGCGGTCGTTCTAAGATATTTTCGAACTACCAGAAGAAGATTATCTGGCATAAAGTACGTGCGTAGCCCAAAATTGAGTACAAAGATCTTATCAAAGTTGCAACAATGACTACCCGACGGTACTCTTTCACGTCCACCCAGCAAGTTTACGATATATTGCATGCTCCGGCGTACTAATATATCAAAATATTGCTTTATAAAGCGCCCAAAACTCGCGTTAGACCACGCACGCAAGCGCCGACAGTTTGCCTATCGTTACCGCAAGTTTTCATGGCGTCACAACATCGTTAAACTCTCAGACGAGTGCTCTATTCAGAAGAGATCTTATACAGAAAACGAGTGGTGTTTCCATTATCCAGAAGAAAAATGGATAGCTCGCATGATAGCAGAAGTATCTACCGGTAAAATCAGACAGCAGATGGTGTGAGGAGCTATCTGGGTGGATGAACGTGGGCGCGGTCACCGGAGTCTTCTCGTGATCATGGAAAGGGATCCCAATGCTCTCCGTGGTGGCTACTCCAGCCAAAGGTACATCTAAAGCCTTCGTAAGGAACTGCTCCCTCACTATAGTCTCAGTCAGATCTTCATGCAAGACAACGCGCGCATACATACAGCCCAAGTCGTCCAGACTTTCTTGGCAGATCACGGCATCATGATACTCGACTGGCCAGCCTACTCACCAGATCTCAACCCTATCAAACACCTTTGGTGGATTCTTAAAAATTGCATGCACCGTTTATATCCAAAATATAGCAATTACAGCGCAGCAGCAGAAGAATGGGATGGTTTTTGTGAGGCTCTAAAAGACTGCTGGCGAAGGATACCGCGCAGGTATATGGAGACGCTAGTTGGCTCGATGCCGCGCCGCCTTGCCGTCTATCGTGCTTCAAAAGGCTGCCAAACAAAGTGATAGTGTCTGGCAATATTATACATTCTTCACATTGAAATATTATGCTATTTTGGTGGAGTTGTCGCAGCAAATATCACGGTCGTCCAGTTTTGGAAATGGTGGGGTGTCGGCTAAAGTGCAAAACTTTTGAATTAGTACTGTATCATAGGGGTTACCCTCTGCTGCGCGCTGAGTAGAGTTTCCGAGCCATCCGCTAGCTAATGCTTATTACTTGTACGGACAGCTAGTAAGATTACTTTTCTATGGTTGACCAATGTATTTTACAATGCTCAAATCTTTGAAATCTTCTGGAAGCGACTATGAATGGTCTGTGGAACACGAAAACAGCGAGAATCTCACGTTGTGAAATTGAGGTGGTTTATTGCACATGAAGATCGACCTGAGACGACCTCAGATTACCTAACATCCAGGAGCTGCGCCTATCGCTTTGCAGGAACGATGGCGATATCATGGCCTCGAAAGGCCACACTGAAACGCAGTTCGCCATCTTTGCTCTTGATCAGCGAAACTTCCAGGCAACATCCTTCTTGAATTGAAGAAGCCCTTTATCCAAAAAGAATGCAGTCTTTCTTCGCTGGACTTTCCATGAAGTCCCTCGCTTACGGCGGAGGTTCTTGTGGTCGCGAATGGACAAGGGGGTACTGATGAAGGGTCGATTGCTGACGTTGACAAAATGGTTGACAGCAAGGCTAATATTGCTATAGTCATTGCCGGAGGCTAGTGCGATAATAGAGAAACCGTTGAAGAACTTTATTATATCGCCCACAGGTCTTTATACTCGCGAGTAGGAGGTAGCGAAGGTCTGAATTGCGGATGCGTCCCGTTACACCGTGCGTTCGAGCACGTAGGGACGGACGTTAGATACACCATACGATCTGTAGAAGCCACTCAAGAGCTCGCAATCATGTAGCAAATAGGAGAGAGTTTGCCCTAAGAAATACTTATTCGTTTCCCAAATAAACCCCAGAACGTTCCGATAAGCATGATGATAGTGAAGAGGGGTACTGAAGCGTTCTGTAAATCCTCAGGATGATATTTCATCCAATAGATCCAAAAGCTGAAGCCCGATAGAATGAGAAAAACATGGTAGGCAAGAAAGAAAGCTAAGGATGGAAAATATCCCGCTTCAACGCCAAACGCGACTCGATTAGTATAGTTGAAACTGGGCGCATGCACACGCGAGGATGCGTTGTACATTCCCTTCTTCTGAGGAATATGTGTGAGAAATCGGCGGTCAGCCGGGATGTGTCTGCACTTGTGAACGTATACAGGTAGAAAAGACCAGTAGCAGACAGGATTACACGCACGAAGAAGAACTGAAAAGTGGGTAGGGTCGATAAGAGGCATTTTTGCAGTTGGCGGTCGCGGATCGTACTCGTAGTCTGTAGTGTAACCATGATGATCTGGAAGTGCTTCGCCAACACAGGAAACATGCTCGTTAAGGATTTCTTCAAACTGATAGAGTTAGGTTGAGGCAAAATCACCACCTTAATCTGTACTCACCTGGACGAATCGGCAGTATCGAAACCTGTATGGTGAGAACCAATATTGAAAGCACCAACGGTGGCTTTTGTGTCTCCGTTTCAATTCTTCAAAGAACACAGGATCGCTTAATTGCGAATGGTTCTCAATGTTCTCGATGTTATGAAATCCCCACATGTCCTTGATGCCGAACACAAATCAGAGAGAATCGACTGGAGTTTGGCTGTTTAGAGCATTAATATGTGTCTGGGTATTGACATTGCCATTTGAGGGGCTATCTTGAGGTGGTAGTGACTGCTTTCCGTGTGGTAACGAGGGTGAAGTGTTGGCGCAAGTGCTCCTAGTTGGAGTGTAGCGCAGATTGGCTTTTGATGATTGAGTAAGTGTAGTTGACGAAGGACTCGTTACTTTGATTGGAACAGCTTTCCAGATAACATGATACATGTGTTCAAATATTGTGGCCCAATTTAATTGCACCGGTCGCACTTTGCAGCAATCACACTTAGGGGGATGCTCGCTCATTGCATCCAAAGTTTGCTGTATTAATGTTGACTCCTGTGGAGATATCGTTTCGTACAGTGTCTCGCCGCAAAACTTTGTATTTTTCAGCATATATACAAGAAGGGAAAAAGGCAACTCACTTCCCATTCAAGTCGTAAATGACCGGGAGTCAAGCCGGGAACTCGAGGTCGCAGAGGCCACCAGTCCCATTGACTCATAGTGTATGCCTCGATGAAGGCCTTGCATTTGTTTACGAGAGACATATCGTCCTCATTTGAGAATCTGATTCTGTGTTTTGGAGTACTCTCCAGAATTTCCCTTAATGAAGATGGAAGGGCCAGTAGCCTAAGCTGTAGTATCAAACTCTGAAGAGCAGTACCCTTCTGAAGAAAGCTGTATGCCTTGTCGATATTCGTGGGCGTTAGTGACTTCAAGTGATTCACTTCTAGATCACCTGCTTCACCTAAGCTCTCTTCATCCGAATTATCTACCACTCCCGGTGCCCAATCTGGTGACCCATAGATATTGTTTGCCCACTCCTCCAGCAATTGCTTCTTGAGTGTCTGAGCAGCCAAATCACTGAATCGCTTCCTGTCTCCAATATCTTCTGGCCCCAGATAGTCCACAATCTGGAGCGCAATGGAAGTACGGTTTCCTCGGTTTTCAATCACTTTTACTGTGTCCTTCTCCAGAGCCGTCTGCGCCTCCTCCTTCAGTTTCAGAACATATACTTTGAGACTCCTTCGGTAATTTTCGATAAATCGCGCGGTGCCAAGCTTTTCTAGAAGGTCTTTTTGTAAAGCACGTAAGTCGTCTAACTCAGCGAGAAATGTACCGAAGAGTCTGACGGCAAGAAGTTCTAGTTCCGTTTTCCGCCTTGGTGCTTGTGACGCGATGTCTTCGTCATTCGATACCACTGAAATGTAGTCACTGCTTTCTTTCTCGTGTTTTGCGATTACTGATTGTTCCGCTCCAATCAACTGCGTTTGTTGATCTACGAGAGTTGTCCCTGCGAAACTCGATTCTCCGCGGTCTGATATAGAACCGTTCTCTGCGAAAGACACGTCACCAAGGACATCCACTCCAACAGGTAACAGCTCATCATCCCCTCTTCTAATTCTTCTAGTTAGGTCTTCTAGCTGCTCAATAGTCAATTGTGGGCCGTGCTCGCCTTCACCTTTCAAAGAGAAGTAGCTGACTTCTGACTGTTCTTTCTTCATGAAATCCTGCATAATCTTAAGGGCGAGTGTAGATTTCCCAGCTCCAGGCACGCCCTTTATCCAGAACATGGATTCGTCATCCTGGTTGTTCGCCCATGTTTTGATCTCATGTAGTAGCCCAGTGCGAGTATTTGGTAAGCATTGTGCGTTCTCCCCTTCCACGTAGGAATTGTAGGATGCTTCATTAGCGACAGGTAGCTTGATCCAGTCTAGCTTTGGATCCAGAACCCTAGGAGAAATAGTTAGCTACCTTCGCGCTAGAACGAAGCGAAAGAGACTTACATCTGCTCAACTTGAAGCGCAAGGCCGAAAATGTGCCCATAGTTCTCAAGATTCTGAAACCTCTTCTCCACCTCCTTGCTTGTTAATGGCCATTCGAGAGCCGGGGTACGGAATTGCTGCATTGCTTTACGACCTTGGCCAGGCTCAAGGTTGACCTTGAGCTTTTCCTCAAGGTCTTTTAGCTCCTGCGAACATTTTTGGAGCGGGTCTAGCAATGTATGCCCAGTAGAGAGCTGCGACTTGTCCTGACTAAGAAGCTGTTGAAGCTTTTCAAGGATATTCTTGATTTCGTTGACTTTTTGATGGAGGCGCTCAATGTCGCCTTTTGCGTGCCTAACCTTGACCGAGTATTGGTAGCAGAGCGATGCAACCTTGCCAGATATTTCGACAACAGATATCACGCTTGCCGCTTCGGAAAGGCCATCCATGATATGGCGAGTTGTCAGAGTTGTAGCGGATGTCGAATTCTGTTCCTTTACGTGAGAGTCGAAAGAAGTACCCTCAGAGGTAGACAGTTTGGCTATATCCATCTCCCATAAAAGGGTCTCAGTCTTTTTGTCAATGGCGCTCAACTTTTGGTCAATACTCCTTGGCGCTTCATCTACCGTGCGAGTTCGTACTACGTCTACTGGCATGATACTTGACAGCAGTTCCTTTGCATACGCGGCTGCCGTACCTGCTGCGTACGGCTGCCACCTATTGTTCTTATGTGAGTCGGCGTAGTCACAGATACCGCGAACGACGAGGCAAGGAAAACTGTTTGTCAAGCCCGCCGCCTCTATCTCGAAGCAGAGCACTCCGCCGAGTTCTGCGCTGACTTGGTCTCTTACTACAGCGCTCCTCATCACCTGGTTGCCTGACGCGATTGTCCCATAGTGAATTACTATCTCCTCTTCGCTGTTGCGTGGGTTTCGTACTTCTTGTCCACCTATGCTACACGCATCGCACGTCTGTCCTCCTTCGTGATCGTACGCAGCTTTAAAAAGCATATCGGGACCTGCCCTGTGACGCTGGAATATAGGAATACGATCGAGTTTGTCGATATGCTCTAAAACCTTGCTTTCACCACGTAGCTCATTTGCCTGTACTTTAGCGACTGCGTTAAGCAGGATCTGTGGAGGGGAGTTCAGAGACCCTATCCGCTCAAAGCCACTTTGAGTTGCCTTGCCATAATCGTACTGTACAACACCGCCAAAAGTCTTATTTGGTTGGCTAACTACAACATCCCCAAGCCGGACGTCTACCTCTACGCTAGGGACGCCGCCTCCGATGCCAACCAATAATCCAAACCGAATTTCCTTAAATGTTGCCTGCATTTGCATTGCTACTGTTGCTGCTGGATTATTGCCAATACGGCCCACCGGCAAGCACACGATCGCCACGTTGTGGCCGCCTATCGATCCGAGGGCGTACAAGTTCTCGTCATTGTCGTCGCCACGCTCAAAGTCGGCGTGCTCCTCATCGAGCATCTCCAGCGCAGCTGCCATCTCGACTGGGAGCGCGCATATCCACCCAACTGTGTAGTCTTCGCGGTGCAGTTGGCGTGGCATTGTAGTTGTTATGAGAAAGGACGAGTGAATGTTATCGTAGAGATAGCCTTGTAGTGGTGCGAAGTTGCCAGATCTTACCTTATGGCAGCTCAGCAACACAGCCTGTTGCCGCTCAGCCTTGCCACTCAGCCTTGTCGCCCACTTTGCAGCGCCGCCTTCTAGCTGCAGCTGCAAGCATTGGGCGAAGCAAACACAAACAGTCCAAACGGCTCGTCTTGGTATGTATGTAGCCATAGGCGTGACTGACTAGTCAGCCACACGCTTAGCTCGTAAATTACGTACGAAGTGCGGGTTTTGCGCTAGCCGAAACTGGAAATCATCTTTTCAAAAGTACTGGCAGGGGGAACAATCTTGCATGGAATTGCACACAGCAGCAGACACAAAGCTGATACTAGATTTCTTACATCGCAGTAGAATTTAACAGCTTCGAAGATACTGTTCAAAGGCGTTGTGGGGTGGTAAGAGCTTAACAGCAGTGCTATAAGAAGGAGACTTTGTTCTACTAGAAGATAAGGCTCTCCTCAAATAGGGCACGGACGCGACCATGCACGATGTAGATTTTAGATAAAGCGGTTTATGTATTGAGGGTAAAATATAAGGCATAACTGACTGAAGAGCATCGTGATTTTCAACCTATATCAAGAATTTGAGTGGTTCAAAGTTGAAGTACCCCTCATTTTTCTCGGCGCGGGGTGCTTCTCGACCTGCAGCGATGGACGTTAGTAGGTATTGTCCGAAAACGCGTTCAATTCCGGCTCTTTCGGCGTATTTCAACTCGACCCAAGATTCTAACGGGCTTTCTAATCGCTAGTTAGTTGCTTAGAGTAACGATATAACTCTATAGTCTTCCAAACAAACTAGAAGCGATCGCGCAGTAGGAGAAATAACCATATTATCGCGTCGTTCCCTAATTCTCTCAACCAATTCGTTAGGTATAGCTCCTTTCATGAAATTAATCTAATTCTACTAGAAAGCGACCACATAACTTATAACAGTAAGAGTTAATAGCTAACAATCTTCTTAGAAATTTATGTTATTTAAGAGAAGCCTCTAGTCTACTTGTCTTCTCGTCTGCCGTAATTTTCTCCATACGCTTAATATAGTCTTACGTATCGGGCATGGTCAGTGCGTGAGCATGGTCAGTCAATGAGCCACCCCACCAAAATGCGTGCCCACCAAAAAACGAAGCTTTTAAGCCCCATACAAAAGCTAATATCATGAGATTTTTGGTGGAGTAGTAAAACCATAATATATTTGATGGCTGTCTACTTATATTTACTCGGAAGATTGATTTTGCGGCCGCGCGTGGTGGTTTTGGTGGAGGGCTCGGATGGCTTCGGTGCAGACGCACCACCACTCTGATCATCCGCAACACCGCGACGCTTAGCTGTTTTTGATACTTGACTTGATGAAGCTTTTCTTTTGCTTTTATTCCCCCTATCTTGAGGTTTTTTTGGTGTTGCAGCAACGCGTTCTTGTTGTTTTTGAATCCGGGCAGCCGCGAGTTGCGCAGCCTTCGCCTCCCGCTCCTTTGCTCGTACCTCCCGTGCCAACTGTCGGGCTTCTTTTGCTTCTGCTGCAATCTTTTTTTATATGCAGTAGCAGCAGCTTTGATCTCTTTTTGCTCTTGTTTTCGGAGTTTTTCTGCCTTGGCTTCTTGGCGTTTTGCGTGTTCACGAGCCCGAGCTTCTTGTACTGATCGAGGACTCCGCACAACCGCCAAACTTTGATACTCTTGGTGCTGCTGAAGATCTAGAACTGAATTATGCTTTTTCTTCTGTTTTTTGGCATTTATTTCACTGCGTAACTCCTCGTTTTCATAGTGGAGCAGCGCATTTCTGACCTGAAGTGAATGGAGTGCCTGTTTTAGCTCTTTGGCTTCAACTTTTGACTTATCTGGGACAGCAGCGTCGTATAACTTGGACAGCTGTCTCCAAGTATTCCCATCTCCATACTCTCTAACTTCTGTATCTGTATCCCGTTGTGGTGTTGAGATTTTAAAGCGTTGGAGTACAACGTCTGGATTGAGCAGATGAACTCCAGTAGCTGCAAAGCTGCTTGTAATATTCTCAAAGGTGAACGTCGATGTATATGCCGCCCAAAATAAGCTTATAAAGTCACTTTTTTGCACGCTCAATAACCCCTGACAGCGGCGGAGGAACTCGGATAGTTCATTCGAGTAAGCTGTCGACAGAGGAGAATACAACACCACGTCGAGTGGCTGAAGACTGTGAGTCGCAATGGGGGGGAAAGATCGCAATCAGAATTCGATGGGAGTCGCAGTAATCGATAAAGGATGGAGTAACGTGACTTCCATGGCCGTCGAGCAGAAGAAGTCTGTAGTCTCGTTTTGCTTTCCCCTTTGTCTTCCGGTCAAACACCTGTTCAACCCAAGCCTTTGCCAGCTCGTTATTACTCCAGCCAGACTCAGTTGTAGAGCAAAAAACCTGGTGTTTATCCACGTCCAAGTGCTGTATCCATCGCTCGCGAAGACCGACATTTCCTTCAAAGATAATCGTAGGATCAATCCAGCTCCCATCAGCACAAACACAAGCCAAAATTGTTATCCACTCCCTACTACCATCTTGTAAGACTGCTGTAACTTTCTTTTGGCTCCAAAGTTGTTTTGAAAACATTCTTTTGGACCTTTCTGCAACACCAAGAAAGAACCTCTTCTCATCCATATTATAGATATCATGCGGCTCCACGTTATACTGAGCAATCTTAGCACGAAGGAGTTCGAAATACGATCGGTAACTATCAATATTATCAGCTTAGTGACGCTCCTAATCAATCCCAGTCACAAATTTAGTAGTAAGCTGATCGCGGTGGCGACGAAGAAATCGGGAAATCCAGCTATCCGAGGGCTCCCATTCTGCAATAACTGACACGTAGTTTTTTATTATAGATCTAGTAGGTGGAAGAGCACGCTCAGTTAAGTCCTGTATATATTTTATAAGCTCGGATTCTTGTGGTGGACTGAGTAGTTGGCGTTGGTGTGTCGCGTCGTCACGCGACTGAGTTTTGTTTTGGTGTCTCCGCGCCAAAGTATTGCGGTCAACACCAAATATTTTTGCAGCTTCACGATATGAAATTTGTCCTTCTGGACCTTGCGAATCGATTGCTGCAATTGCTTTTGAAATAGAATCCATAGTGGTGGAGTTATGTGATGTTGAAGAGAATGGATTACTATGCTACTTTTGGTGGGGTGGCTCATTGTCTGACCATGCTCACGCACTGACCATGCCCGATAAAGCTTTGCGATAGCTTAATACTATTGAACGTATCTATAAGCTGTGCCTATGCTAAATCAATATTTTAAAACCCAATTCGATTGCGCGGTCGTCGTGCTGACATAGTGTAGATGATCGTAGAATTGGTTGTAGGAGCAAGCGCCTAGCTCGGATGACCAGTGTGGACATGGTGAAGCTACGACCTCATTGGTCAATAGCTGAGCTGTGCTTGGTATATGGTGGGCATGCGGCATGGGACGTCATGTGTTTTACCAAATGTGGACACTCAAAAAGCGCATCCTTCGATATCACAGTGAAGTCACAAGCCAAATCTGTATGACCTCAAAAATGGACCTACCAGGGCCTGGAGCCAGTCAGCGTTGACAGTTAAACGCTGCGATGCTACTTTAAGGAGGTAAGCGCCACCGATACACTAAGACTCCCAACATGCAGGGTAGTAAAACACAATTTACTTTGAGACTAATATACCTAAGAGCAGAAACCAGACTAAAGTTACCAGTATAAGAGAAATTAACGAATATTGGTAGCCCAGAACGGAAAATTTGACGGACATGTTGACAAACAGCACAGTTACATAGTGGTCAGTATTTCCGCTTGTCAAGCAATTGACAAATCGCGGGAGATCGGGGTTTAATTACTCGCTGGAGAGATTCTACATTATTTTTTTGTTTTTTGGTGTGGTAAAAGGTTCCCTCGGCACAAGGCGGATGCACCCTTGCTTAAGCGAATTTTTTTAGCGCTTGTTCGGTTTCGCTGCCACAACTGCAACAACGCCAAAAGTTTCTAACGCTGTTGTAACACTATACCTATGTCAGATACTGGCAGCAGAAGCAGCAGATTTTGGGTGTGGAAAGGAGCACCCGGATTCTGTGTACAGCTAATCAGAGCTCGTCGCCAAGACTACCACAGCCCAAACTGGAATAATAGGGGACTCACGCCATAAAAAAGTCATATATATGACTGCCAACGGGCGCGCGGGGGTGCCTCTGGGAGAACAACAGAACAGTAAAATCTAATTATCACAAACAATTATCACCGTCTACTGTCCTTGACAACCTATTACAATCTGACAAATAGAATAAGATCAATCTGGACAGAACACAGCACGATAGCACTAAAGACAATATATAAATACCTTAGCCTAAGAATAGATACTAAGTTGCGCTAGAAAGAACATATAAAGGTAACTAGATAAAGGGTAACTAAAACAGTAAACACCCTCCCTACCTAAGCTATCTTGGGGATTCTGATTAGGAAGTGGGTTTGCTAGATCTGCGAATGATCTACAAAGGCACAGCGCTTCCACAGATAATGTACGTCTGCTCTATCTGGTACAATGCCAACACAAGATGAGGAACTTACATATAGAAATCAGTAGGCATCCTACAGGGCATACAACCTATGTCAATATATCATTGGTGCCTTCGCCACTCCTCTTCGTCATGTTGGCGGCGCTTTCCTCTCGTATTTCCTTCATGAACTCAATGTTTTCCTGGTGTAAGCCCTCGTACGCCTCAAAAAAGATCAGTCTCCCTGCCACTAAATCGTCTTTCCCATCTTTGAGATTTCTTTCCCAAGCAACGGGCTTCTTAACAGGTTCATCCAAAGCCTTCAAATACTGGATCGTAGCGTCGATCAACGACTTATCAAAACCTCCGGCTTTGATCCGGTCTGGGCTACCATGCGCAGGAAAGATTTTCTTGATAGGCAACTGCGCCATACGCTCCAACTCCTATAGTTGAGTTATGAGATCCTCTGGCTCGGAAAGATACGTCACGGTGTCCTCGAGCATATCCCCAGCAAGAACCAAGCCTGCATCCGGGAGGAAGAGGAGTGTAGAATCCGCGGTGTGAATGTTGAAATTTTGCAGTTCGACTACGATATCGCGGACTCGGAGCGACAAGCTCTTCTCATATGTCTCCGTGGGGAACACAACGTCGATGCTGGGTCCTCCGCCCTCATTCGGGTTTCTTAACTTCTCAGCATTCTGCCTCATTCTCTCTTGCGTGCTTTTGTGTGCAACAATCTTCGTATCCCGCAAAGCAGAAGCCCCAGCGATGTGATCGGCATGGAAATGGCTATATACTGTTGTCACACTCTTTGCGCCTAAACTTCGTACATGGGTGAGCATGTGCGCCCCGTGAGCAGGCGTCAGATCTGCGTCGAAGAGAATGGCGGAGTCCCCGCTGACGATGCTGTAGGTAGCCACGCCCAAGACCAAGGTCTGATCATACCAACTTGAGGAGCGCCAGGGGCACGTGCGCCCTTCATAATAGGCATAGATTGCTGTTATTCCCATGGGGCAGAAGGTACGAAGCGTTGGTAGATCACTAAATGTGTCCGGTTCCGCCATAGTTTCGGGGTGAGAAGGAATATGGAGGAAGATGGAGATGGCGCAGCTCTTTACGAAGTCTGGCCAATTAGACGGAGTCGTGGGGTTTGAAAACTTTGTAGCAAGATGCTAACAATATTGGAAAATCAAATGATTTCTAGACCCACCTTCGTGACAGTCTCGGACGAATTGAAGTGACTAGCTCTACGCCTTATATACAGGGAAAATGTGATGGACAACTGCGGATCTGATTTGTCTGTCCAGTAGCATCGTAATCCTCGAGGATGGGATTTTCCTCAAGAAAGTGATGAAATGGGCGTTTGCCGTATAGCCTTGGATGTCATGATGCCTTTATACGCTCATGGAATTTACTTGGCTGAGAGTAAGCCTGGAGGATCTTTTGTAGACAAGCGCAAGCGGTCGTTGGTGAGAAGAGTGTTTGCAACTCCAACCGCGGCTTGTAGTCCGGCAGAGCGCTTTACCAATATATCAGCCATAGAATTTTCTATTCAAGTGAAGATGATGTCTTCGAGCTAGCCATATCTATGGGTAACCGTGCGGAACAATAAACAAAAAGTGTCTGCAGGAGGGTGATCTGAGTTCTGAATCGGAAGACAGACTGGAAATGCCGTAGACTCTACATTGAGCATTGATTTCGGCGCCGTTGTTCAGTAGGAACTCAGTTATTTTACATAGCGCATACTTGGTAGCGTATGTCTTGAACTTAGGGGCGTACTTGTACAGCACATAAAAGTTCCCTCTTGTGGGCAAGAAACACACGGAACGAGTGAGCCATGTGAGCTTTAATATGAATTGCATGCTCGCTAAGATATTTAGCGGTATTTAAGGTGTTCATGGTGGTAAAGCCTTCTCTCAAATTCCTCGCCAGTATTGAACGGACCACTTGTGAATGTGCTCAACGATAGGTATGTCAGACAAATCTCAGCGATGCACAAGTGCGCACTCGGGCTCAGCCACGATGCAGAACATTTAAAGTATTTTTGAGTGGTATAGTGTACTAGGCGAATGATGTCGCTGTCTTGGACGATGACAAGTCCAGCGTAGACAGTTAGCACGTCAGCTACATGAGTTATGTTTTCTACATCGACCTCTGCTTCGCCGGTTTCAACCGCAAGGGCGCAGCATGTACAACCATTACCTACGAGGAAACCTCAGCTGGCAGTCAAAGACTGCCTGAGCAAGTTCTGCAAGTGACCTCGGGAGGTTTACCCAGTGCTGTTCCAAAAGCTTCAGTCGGCGTCCTGAAAGTCCAGGTCAAACGAAAAATCTTCTTCAATCGCAGTTGCTTCGACCAGCATATCTGGAGCCACCGGGACATTCTCAGCTCTGCGCATAGCTGGGTCGACGAGAGGTTCCAAGCCTGCGTGGTACGTGGCTAGTTCAAGCGAGAGCTTAGAGAGAATTTCTGGCTTGTTATGACTGTGACCCGCAGGAGTCTCGTGGGTGCTCCGGGAGATTGCGTATTGTGCAAGATGGGTTAGGAAACATTCGGGCGCATTTTAAAAAGGCAGAACAGTTCAGCGCGCGTAAAAAAATAGAGTAGATAGCTCCTCATCGAATACAAACTCTTGTATGCCTCGCGATTGCTCCCCGGAGCGCAGCCCTTTACAAGTATTAATTATTGTTTTTTCTTCTCTCTTAGTTTTCCAAATTTATACACTCTCATGTCTTCCCTTATCAGTGTTGGAACCGTTTTTGTAGCACTGATCCTTGTACTATAATATAGACTTTATTCTTTTTTCTTTCTATATCTTATACCGCCCCCTTTGTCCCCTCTATCAGGTTCGCAAAAATGATATTCAATTCAAGTCAATATCCAAGTCAATATCTGGGGTGTCCCGCACGGACCCAAAGCCAATATTTATTGAACATTGTCTATTGTAATATATCTAGGCGGGCCAGCTCGCGGATTTCATCGGTTATGTTAGAGCATGAAGATGTCTGAAAAATCTTCTACGCGCATAATTACTATAAATTCTAGTAAACTACAAGTTACTGTCCGAGGTGAGGAATAAACTGCTGCCACACAGTGGTCTTATAGCAGCTTGATGGCAGGGAACGCATGGCCGCAAAGTCTCCCACAACTATGTAGAGTCGCGCTAAGAGATGCGTGAAACAAAGGAGCTGCATTAGTATAGCCGTAAGAACAGGAAGGGAAAACCGAGGATTCTGACTAGTAGTATTATTTCTTATCCAGTCCCAGATCGTGCGAGGCCTTGGTCGTAGTCCTTCAGTCGTTCGAGACTTATCTTTGCGCCTGCCAAAGGGGATCATGCTAGGGCTGTGATCTGTTTCCGCAATATCTGGCTCCTTTCTGGCCGCCAAGCTATTCCGGAGATAGGGCCATATTCTAAATGTCATTTCTGTCACAACAGCACAACCAACCAAAGTTCCAAGAGCAGTTAAAGACGCCACTCTCCAAAGTAGCTGTTCTCTTTGCGATGGTAGGCTCAAGTGCCAACCTGCAACAAATATAGCACAAAACCCAAAGTAATAAATAGCACCTAGGTTAAAAAACCAAGTCGGAGTCTCAGCGCTGCTGAAGTTCGAAAATCGATCAATTGGGCGTACGCGAGTTCCAGCAGGTACTCCAAGTCCTCGAACTGCAGCTCTAAAATGAGCCCAATAAATCATCCAGAACCATTCCCTGCGATCAAGGAAGTCCAATGGAGTGTGACCATACGGTTCGCGTGCAGCATCACCCCCAGTCAATAGTATTTCTGCCATGCTTGCATTGGTGGTGAGTATTTCGGGTACGCTCACATCAGCGGGTTTATGCCACCAGAAGAACATAGTCGGCAAGCTTGCGTATATGAATGCCACAGTAGTCAATTCGAGAGCTGTTGGACTAAGATTTTGGGCAATTCGTGTGAAAAAATTGGCTAGAAACCAGACAGTCTGGATAACCATCAGAAATCGAGTCAAATTATCGGCTTTGTTCCGATCCAAGATCCGCCCTGTTAGAGCCGGAGGAATCGCGACGTATTCGTGTTGAATTAACCAGAGGAGTTGTTTTGCGGATATAGGAAAGGGAACCCAGTCGCGAGTTTGTAAAACAAAGCCGCCCATTTCTGCGAAAAAGGCATGCTGAGGCGACCATTCACCGATATTAGCGGCCTTAAAGTCTTTAACAGATTGTCTTGCAGCGAAGTATTGGCCACTGGCGGCCACCGTGACGACCTCTGGTGTGAACAGAGTTAGGACGAAGATCATTGCTTTACGTCGTAATTTTGTCCCATTCGTGTCGTAACGACCTGGTACGTTGAGGCAGAGCATCGACCAGCAGCACAAGAAAATAGTGCTCGTGCAGCTCCAGAGGATATCCATGGTCCCTCTTTCGCGAGGCGATGGAGTCCAGCCTTGCCGGAGCTCTTGCTCTCCATGAGCCATGTGCAGGCTCGACGTGTTCGTAGACCCGAGCTTTAACAAAGGCTGTGAATTCACATAGGCACATAGACTCAACGTTAGGAAGGCTAGTTGAGGAAGCATTGTGAAGTGGTGGTGTGATGGGCGGCCATAGATTGGTAAGTGGTACTGATGAAGTCTTTATGGACGGGGACTCTGTAATAATCTAAGGAATAGATCAACTTACGCGCAAGAGATAAAGCTTTTGGTGAACCTAATACTTCTGCATAAGCTGCATAAACTCGAGAATGTACCCCGAAATGTAAGTCTGCCTTACAAGAAGATTTCTGAAACACCTTGACATAACGTACACGAGCATGTAGACGCAGACTCGTTCATATCCTTGGCCCCATCTGAGCCAATTGAACAACACCGGGTAAATCCATTACCCCACCCCAAGAGCCTTTTTTGTAATTCAGGGGAATGTCACATGCATAGTAGAGTCAGTGCTCTGCCAGATGCTGGATCCTGGCGCTAAGGTGGCCAACATGAAAGCAGAGTTGCTGTGGGGCAAATACGAGTGTGGCGCTGCCGAGCTGGTATGGCGGCCCTTGCACTGCATAGCATATGTGGATGATGTTCTGCCCCGCAATCTCAAATGCGAGAGCCGAATGCAGCCGCATCGTTGCCTAATCATACATCAGCATGTCCGCATCCAACCTTCAAGGAGAGCGGTGATAGCTGACCCTCTGAGCGTAGCAGACTTTGTAGCCGGTCTGGTCAGTCTCGCTATTCAGCTATCGCAACTGAGCTTCCAGTACGTCTCGAGCGTAACAGGATCTTCCAAAGGATGGAGCTCGTACATTCAGGAATTGTCAACCCTCACCTCAGTTCTGTTGAAGCTCTAACAAACGAGCGACTATGGCGGCACGCAAGACCTACCTCATGTCCTGCAAACATCAGGAGTCTCTATAGCCACTATACGGGAATGTCACAAGGAGCTAGACAGTCTAAAGAAGACGTTATCGGCCATTCTCGGAGCTCGAAACTGAAAAGAAATTTCTGATCTTGCATCAATACAGCAGCTTGTTTGAAGCCTCACTCATTGCCGAAAATCTGAGCATTTCTCTCGAAAGCTGCCTGCATCTAAAAGGTGAAAAAGATGTTTGAGATCTCAACGAGATGCTTGAATGGTACAAGCCGAAGTACTAAGCATTGCCACTGTCTCCAGAAGTTGTTCTGGAAGCAATGTGCTCTGGAACCTGGTCAGCTCTCTTGAGCTCAGCGACGTACGTGAGCTGGAGAGACGCAGTCGCCCCGACCACACAGGGACCCCTCTGGATTAATGGCGCACCTGGAGCAGGCAAGACTGTTCTGGCCGCGGCCATCGTGGACGATATATCGCGTCAGAGAGACACGACAGTGGTCCACAACTTCTTCAGAGGCGACTGTGAAGAGACCATACTGGAAGTCTTCCGGCATGTTGTCTACCAGATTCTGCCACGGCCAAAAGCAGCTTCTCAGGTCGCAGTCCGTATGTACAAGAAGAAAGAGGCCCGCAATGCCTCCGTTCTCTCGAAAGATCTTATCGACATCATCTGAGACATTTTGGCCAACTACAGCTATTTCTACATCGTACTCGATGGGTTGGACGAGTCTCCGCAGAACTTTAAGCTGCTGAAGCGTCTTCCACAACTCGTAGCAAAAGGTGTCAAGATCGTTGTTCCAAGTCGCGGACTCCCCACCATTGCGGCACATACCTACTACAAACCTGCACAAGTCTATGCGGCTCTTCGGTTAAACTACTACCTACAGATGGATACTGCATCGAACAACTTTGTTTTTATTCATATTAGCTAGCGTAAAATGTAATAGTTATACTACTCTTGTGAGACGCGCCCGCGCGTCTCTAGAAGGTTAAATCAATTAAATCCTTCTCTTTACAAACTATCAATATACTATTCTTCATAGTCTGTTAGTTATAGTTTTATTAGAGTTTTCTAATATGATAGCTATTACTTCTCTACGAAAGTGTATTCCTCTATAACTATTTGTGGCACGCGTAGGTGCGGTAAATCGATCTGTATTGTTGTAAGGGGCTGCACTCCGTGAAGCAAACGCTAGATATACAAGAGGTTGTATTCAATAGAGAGCTATGTAACGGTGTTACAGCGCCGCCAGGAACCAGAACGGTTACCTACGCAGTCCGGACGCTGTCCACTGCTCCACCCCAATACAAGAAGACAACCGCAGAAGGAGATCCCAGACCAGGCCCAGGCCGGTACCGGACCGGGCATGATTAAGAAAAATACTGGGTGATACCTGTAGCTAGTTCTGTAGATTTTTGATATCCTTTCGTACAAGGCCTATAGGTGTCTATTCGAATCAAGGCTCGTTCATTGTCCCACGCACTCCCATATGCCTCTGAGTGACACTACTGCCGATGCTGATCCGAGTAGTCTTGCGTGAGCCGTTATAATTAGAAATAAACAATATTTAGGAAAACAAGTCGCACAGTTTTCTTAGTGTTCACAGGCCAAACAAAACACGATTCCCGGCGGGAATTTGCAGTCCTAATGTATACAATTAGATGTAACAGGGCAAATGTAATCCAATTTACGTACGGTAGTGCAAGTACGGCCGCTAGAAAGGTGCTTTGCTGAATGGAAAAAGGCGCTACGCAGCTGGTGTGACATAAGGCTTGAAGAGTGTCGAAATCACAGGTTGCGCCACATGCGCCTTTACCTTCTGTTCTCTATACAATTTGAAACATTTACGACCCTAAGGCGAGTGCGGTTCGGTCATACTCCCAGCTAGCGTTACTGAGATGTTTGTCCACTTCAGTTGAGTCCATGTATTGCAAAATCGCCTTCCGCTAACCCCAAATGTCAGCCTTGCTGCGCCACGCTCTGAGCTGTGCAATCAGCCTCGCCTACCCCTCAGCTGAACTTCGTACCCTCCCTTAGTATATTGGCACCCATCAATTCACAGTACCTTGCACTGTCTCGCTTTTGGATTTAATCCTTTGATAACTCACTGCCCCTGTTTCGTTGTATGCGTGCTAATTCCGAGAGCCGGGATTCACCTTGACAGAAAAGCGCTCGTCTCTTCTTTACGCTGCTGCCTTGAGCCTCAAGAGCGTATTTTACCACCCGCCGAATCCATCCCTCATGCGTCTTCTCAAATCCAGGACCGACGACAGCTTCAGCCCGACATGGTTTGCACCGAGTAGTACCCCCAACTATGTTACTCTTTCCCATCGATGGGAAGGGGATGATCAAGAGATTACTCTCCAAGACCTGAAGGATGGCTCAGCAAAAGGCAAACTCGGCTACAGCAAGGTTCGATTTTGTGCAAATCAGGCCAAGAATGACGGCCTAGAGTACATCTGGGTTGGCAGCTGTTGCATTGATAAATCTAATAATTCAGAGCTCGCTGAGGCTATTATCTCAATGTTTCGATGGTATCGAAATGCGGCCAAGTGTTATGTCTACCTTGGAGACGTGCCATCAAAGCATAACTCATGGTTATCAGACTTTGAGAAGAGCCAGTGGTCCAAGCGCGGGTAGACTTTGCAAGAGCTAATCGCGCCCAGTAACGTCGAATTCTATGCCAAAGATGGACAGCTGCTCGGCACCAAATTTACATTGCAGGATCATATTCATAACATCACAGGCATAGAAAGGTCGGTACTGCAAGGCGACAACATGAGCACTTTCAGCATCAAGTAACGACTATCATGGACCAACTCTCGCCAAACGACGCGCGAAGAAGATCTGGCCTATTTTTTTTTTAGGAATATTCAGAATCAACATGGTGCCATTGTATGGGGAAGGCACCGAAAGCACGATGGCCAGACTTAAGAGGGAGATATCTGCACTAGATCTGATAGTTTTCAACAACGGGCTAAGATCACGACCTGGCTATCTGCTGCTACTCCAGACCATGTTCACAAGTCAATTCAGCAGGAGAAGAGTACTTGTGAATGGATCTCCGAGGACAGTGATTGGTAGGTATGGACCTCGCCCAATGCTTCAACTTTGCTGTGGAAGCACGGCGAGCGTAGGTGCTTCTGTCACTTGTGATCTTGACCTCTTGCTGATAGGTACAGCTGGCGTCGGAAGAACTGCCCTAGAGTATGTTTTCGATTCCGAACCCGCTCAAACTCCTGGCATGCCTAAGTCTGCTGCCATTGATAAGATCAGCTCGACGACTGCGTCTACTGCTACCTTGGCGTATTTTTATTGTAATGCTGGTGACATTGAGCAGCACAAAGCCGAAGCTATTACCGCCTCTTTAAAGAAATAGCTATTGTTGAATTTGACTCAATCAGTTCCGGATGCTGTTCAAGAAATGTATGAGAAAGCACGAGAGTCTAATAGTGATAAATATAGACCTCACGTCAAGACCCTTTGTGGAACTCTGCAGCACTTGCAGTCTTGTTATCGGGCTGTAATATATGTAATAGTTGGCTTGGACGAGTGTTCTGCAGATCAACATAAACTACTGCTAGACGTGTTTCTGCCGCTTCTGCAGCGCGATATACCTTTACTGAAATTCCTCCTGACCAGCCGCTATAAGAATGACATAGCTGCTAGGCTTGGTCACTATCCACAAATAGTTGTTGACGTTTCGAAAAACTCGGCCGACATACGAAGCTTTGTCCAGTCTCAACTATCACAAGCTCTTAAAGCTAAAAGACTATTGCGAAGTCAAGTATCAAATGAGCCTTTCTTGGAGATCAGGGATCGGCTGAGCCAAGATGCTTGCGGCATGTTAGTCTCGTTAAAATACAACTGCAGCACAAATTAACAACCCGCGTTTTTGTGGGCGAAGCTCCAGATCCAAACACTCTGTAGTGCTTCATCGGAGCGGCGCATTCGCCACATGCTCGCCAATTATCCCAGGCAGCTTGACAAACAATATGATCGGATGCTCTTCCTGGCGCAGGACCAGGAAGCTGATGCAGTTGCCTTCGCTATGGATATATTGCTTTGGACTGCTTTCTCATCCTGACCCTGCACACTAAAGGAGCTTGGGACTGTTGTAACAGCCGCTGACCACATCACTGGGTTCAATACTGATGAACTGGATACGGATTTTGTGGTAGCTATATCCCATGAATTCTTGCAAGTTAATACCTCGAATGACGGCGTGGTCTTGCTCCACACTAGCGCAAGACAATACTTGACCAAATGGTTCGGGAGTACAAAAGGTCATGGGGATCTTGCGTAGCAATGTGCTCAGTAAGAAAGTCATCCATACCCGCATGATGCTGTTAACATGGCGAAAGCTACCCGTCTTCGTGTGGCTTTGATTGGCAAGTGGAGCAACTGCTCACACATTATGTAGATCCCGAGCACTTCGAAGAGCCAACTCTACCATCTGAAAAAAGAAGTGAAGCATCTATAGAACTTTGGACTATTGTTGAAAAGATGTGGGCACGTTCACTGAGGTTCCAAGTTTTGGTTGACACCTATCCGTTTTTTGCCTACGCTGGAAACTATTGGCTACAACATGCTGACCTTGGGATTGAGCATTTCAATCTATCGGCATTCCCCTGGATACTGAATGAGAACTCCAGCGTATTCGCATCCTGGAGGTCTATGAGCAGCATAGAAGGTGGCCTCGTTCCCAAAAGGCTAGGAGATCTAGGAATGATGCAACTCGAAGGCCAGATGCTCACACACCAATCTCCTGACATTGTAGGTGTCTCAGCGCACCTTGGTTTGTCTAAGCTACTCTTCAAACTCCTTAAAGATTTTTCAGAACGAAACCACAAACATCGTGCATTGACTGCCGCAGCTTATGCAGGAATGGTCGAGAGAGTAACCACCTTGCTCTGTGAGAAGGATGTTTTGACTCCTAGACCCTTCCGCGCGCTTATGATGGTAGCGCCTTCAATTCATGTCTATATTGTCTCTTTATTGCTCGACGCTGTCAGAAGAGCAGGACACGGTGTTGATGATGGCAGGTTTAGCGATTGTATTATGATAGCTACCATTGGAGCCTGGCTCTCACCTACCTCAGACATGATCAAAGCAGTTTACGAAATATGCAGAAATCAGAACAACTAACGTTACAGCATCGATATGATCAAGATAGCCGTAAAAATGGCGACAAATGTACGGAATCCGATCCGAGACGACATGTGGGACGACGTAGCTGCCTTGGACGAGGCATACGGAGGCCAACAATGGTCACCATTAATGATTGCTTTATTACATGGCAATGAACACACTGTTCCAACTCTGTTAAAGGAGGAGTCATGTAATGCCAACGACATCCAGTATGCTCTAGCAACAGCTTCAATTCTCCGTCACCAAGCTTTTGCCAAAGCCTTCATCCAGCGCACCGAAGAGGCTTCAATAAGGGTTTCAAAGACCACAGCTCTTGCTTTTGCCCATAGCCAATCATGATAAAGCCATGGTGGAGTTGCTCATCACTCGTGACTCTCTGCGAGATCTTGCTATACTAGCTGAGGGAATGAGCAGTTCCAGGTGGGAGACTACAGTTGGTGCCGCTGCCGCGATTGGACATGTGCCCACCATGAAGTGTTTATTATCGCACAATTTTAACCTCCGCATACGGGACACTGATGGGAAAACACTGTTATATCACGCTGTCTGATATGGTCATGAGGATATGATACAGTTTTTGCTTGACAACACCTCACCCAAAGATCTGAGAATCAAGGATGCAGAAGGCAAAACCCCCTTGGATGTCGCAGAAGCTCGTGAATTCAACGGAATCGCAGCAAATTTTCGCACAGCACTAAGAAATGCTACAGGCACAAAGGAAAAATTGGTAGTGGGAGAAGAGAATGGAAGTCCGATGGAATCCAATAAGAGATAAGGGATATGAGGATAGGGCTGAAAAGCAGTTTGCAAGTTATGGAGACCGGAAAGAGTAGGTATGCATTGGAGTCGCGTCCACTGTCTCACACCTTATCTGGCAGATGTCAGTGACAGGCTTGCTCTAGCCACAGATGCCATAGCCGCAAGATCTGGAAATGGTCAGAAATCGGATGCAAATTTAATATTACATAAGATTCATCAGAGCTAGTCGTGCTACCCAGCATCCTTTCATAATCAGATTCGAGGTACCGTCCTATGAACATTGAAATATATGTACATAGGTAAAAGCTATAACAACTTCAAAATTGAAATCTTGGATTTTGTTAGCTCAATACGTAGAGCGACGTAAGGCGATTCTAATCCACTCCTTCTTTTTCTTTAGCAGTTCCGGTTGTGATATTATTGAAGAAAGAAAGGGGTACTTAGTGTTATGGATCAGGAAGCTTGGAACAAGTATGCATCAATCTATCACACAGGAGAAAGAAGGAGAGAAAGGCTATTGCTACAAAGTGTCCATCTTGAATATCTACTACTCGTACGTACCACCCGGCCAGTGGTTACATGATCGTCTTTATTATGTAGTTCTCTGGTATAGCTAACTAGGCAAAGGAGCGGGGCCGGCAGTGGCAGAGGTTGGATTGAAGCTTAAGGGTAGTAGAGAAAAATAGATGTCGAGCCGGGAATTGCGGAGCATGTATTTTGCCAATAGGCTGATCATAACGGTGGGCCATCAGGAAACAGTTTGATCTAAAGCGCTCTGCAGGCTTTTCCCTGGCAGGGCTGTTGGGAATGATAGTAGGTGTTGCTGCATGGGTCTGCGATGCTTACATAAGGCCGCCGACCCTTTCTTTGATGACACACAGGCGCGCCGTCCGATGTCGTGGATTCCGACGCTCACGGGAGGCCGTGCACCTATACGATAGTACCCCACATCCCCGACGTTTTGCAGCACGTAAGCTTGTTCAGCAAACTGCTCTTGTTGAATGCCTGCTCGCTCATGTCCTCCGCATTTTTCCGACTTAGGTACAGCGGCATGGCAGAGTCCGTGCATACGGTAGGCTTGCACGGCCACATGGAATTGTAATGGGCCCTGCATATTGCATTCACCAAAAAGCATGTGACGCGGCTTCGACGATTTTCTTTAGCAGGTTCTCAGCTTGATAATGAGGCTAGCAAGAGGCGGAGGCTGAATAGAGCGATAGGATGCAAACGCGACCGGGCTGTACAGTGAGCAGCAAACGACTTACAGCATAGATACGGTTGTTGGTTATTATTATTATTATTCCATTATAGTCCTGTATTAGCCGTTGGCTATGTAGGACTTTGGCCAAAGGCCGTTCTATCTAACTAGTTACAATTTGGTACGTTGTGCTGCATTGCGTGACTATGGTGCTTCGGCCTTTGTCTAGTTAAGCTAGTACTAGCTTTCTAGACGCCTGGTGCTAAAGAGCAGTTTGGTAACAGGGAGAGATATAGAGCAGCTAGGCTGCCTTCTAGCGAGCTCTCTTAGGGGATGGGAAATAGTGCTAGTAAAATCAGATTCGTTCTTCTTTGTTTTTTTCCTTCTTTTCTTCTTGTTTTTCTTATTTTTCTTCTTTCTAGCCTTCTTGGCCTAGGTGCCACTTTCTTATTCCTACTCTCGTGCTAGTGATAAAAGCTAGAGTAGCTTCTATACCGCTCGTAGTATAGAGTAAGAGTAGTAGTTTAAGTACTTTCTAGCCTAGAGTCTTTTTAAGCTTATTTCTCTCTACGCTATAGAAACCGCAGTATAGAAGTAGATACTCTGCTATTTATGGTCTTCCGCATTTACAGCGTTCTGTTTCTCTTCTTTTTACTCTCTTTAGATAGGCATTAAAGTATCCGTGCCCTATCTTAAGAGAATAGAAAGAGCTTAAAATCTCTCTTTTAGTGCCTCTTAGGATTACTAGTTAGTTTTTAAGCTTAAGGTTAAAGATAGCTCTATAGCTAGTCTTCTTTTCTTTTATTTTCTCCCTATACTTTCTCTATTCTTCTGCTTAGCTAGCTCTTTAGAGAAGCTTAATCTTAGTGCCTATAAAGACTAGGCTTATTTTTAATTCTTTTAGTGTTTATTTTATAGCTTCCTTTACTAAGAAACCTACTTTTTCGTTTCCTTCTATATCTGTGTGGCCTGGCGCCCATTTTAAGAAGATCTTTACTTTTTTATTTAGAATAGCTTTAGTAGCTTTTTAGCACCAAATTACTTACTGCTAGCTAGGCTTATCTAATAGGCTCTAGAGTCTATAGATAGCAGCTTAGTTATTAGCGTAAACGTAGATATTTTAGTATTTTTAAGCTATTTTAGCCGCGTATTTAAAGGCTATTATAATGTCTTTAAGCTCTCCGTTATAGATAAGTTAGTTCTCGCCTATATTCTTTGTCTTTAGATAGATTTCTTCTTAGTTTAGGTTATAGACTGCTACGCCTACTCCTATTCTATCTTCGTCTTTAGTTTTAGAGGCGTCTGAGTAGATTACTATAGAGTTATTCTCTATTATTTAGATATAATCTTTGTGCGCGGCTACCTCTTCTTCTTTTAGTTTCTTTAATATAGAGATATTATAGTTGAGAGAGTCCTATAGTCTAAACCAATATAGGACGATTTCTTCTATCTCTATAGTAGATAGGATAGAGCTTGTGATAGCCTGTAGTTATCTAGGTTTCTTTAGCTGTTTTAATTATGAAAGGTTTGTTTTTTATAGCCTTATAATAGCTTTTATAATTAGATAGGTTTAGGCTAGTTATATAGCTTATAGAGCGTATTTTTAGTTCGTTTAGCTTAGCCGTACGGCTGGTGACGGCAAGCTAGCTTTGATACTTATTGAGATAGCTAGAGCTGTTTTGAATACTCCTAGTACCTTTCTGCAAGCCGCGTTATATAGCGGCTGAAGCTAATCTTTAATAAAGCTCTGGTTACGCCAATAGATTAGCGACCTATAATCTGCAGTGCTTATAACGCATACTAGATATAGTTGTCTAATAGTAAAGAGAGATAGACTGTAGTCTATATTCGCTAATCTCTCTAGTCTATTAAAAGCTGTTTTTACTTAGCTAGCTCGAATAGCTACGTGTTCTCTAAAGGATAGCTTGTTGTCGAGGTATACTTCTAGCCACTTTATTATATCTTTGTAGTAGATTTTCTCCTTACTAGAGAGCTCTAGAGGTATTTCTTTTCTTTCTTTCTTCTTTATAAAGTAGATAAGCTCTGTTTTCGCTATATTAAACTTAATCGCTAGTTCTTTTCCTTTAGCAACTAGTTTCTTAACCTCCTGTTGTAGTATCTTAACGTTTTTCTTAATGGACGTTAACGAGGTTGTAATGGAGATGTCGTCGATATAGGAGAGCTGAAATCCATCTATTTAGTGGAATAGATCTCTAATGTAGATTAGAAAGAAGATTAGAGATACTAGGCTGCCTTATAGAATGCCTGCGTTAATCTCGCTAAACTCTTCTATTTGGCCGTTAAAGGCGAGCCTTAGAGATCTATTAGATAGAAAGGTTTTAGCCTAGATAATTAGGCTGATAGGCAGGCCTAGCCTTTTTAGTGTATTTAGGAACTGGTTGTGGGAAACGTAGTTAAACGCTCCTTTAACATCTAGAAAGACTGTTAATGTAGTGTAGCCTTATTATTTTTGGTGCTGGATTTAATCTACGAGGAGGAGAGCCGCGTCAATAGCTGATTTCTTTAGTCTACCTCCTATCTGGGAGTTGTGTAGAATGCTTATAGTCTTAGCTAGGTAGCTAAGTCTTTTAGCTATTATCCGTTCTATTACTTTACTTAGGCAGCTTAGAAGAGTAATTACTCTATAGGCCTTTAGGATAGAATAATCGGGTTTAGATGGCTTCTTTAGAATAGCTCCTATAGCTCTTCTCTAGCACGTTAGATGGTATCTATAGTTAAATAGTAGAGAGTAAGCTTTAAAGAACGTGTTTAGTTAAGCTTAGTAGGCAGCTGTGATAATTTCCTATAATAAAGCGTCTAGGCCTAGTATGCTACTTTTTACTTTATTAGAACACGCATATTCTAGTTCGGTTATTAATAGCGCTGGCCACTCCTACTCTTTCTCTTAGTAGTTATTGAAGCTTAGTGGTACTATACTTAGAGGCGGAGGAAATAGTGCTTTTTAGAAGGCTTTACACTTTCCTTTAAATAAGGTTTCTAGCGTCTCTCCTTAAATAGGAGAGATTCTTTTTACTCTCTTTTTCTTTGTATAGTCTATAGCTTTAAAGATAGATTATAGGTCTTCTTTTTCTAGAAAGTTATTCTAGTGCTCTCTTTTAGCTTTCTTAATTGCCGTTTAGTAGGTGTTTCGTGCTAGAAAGAAGTCTCTTTTAAGGAGATAGGCTTTCTCTATAGAGGTAGCTTAAAGTTATTACGCGAATATCCTTTGGCAGTGAGATACGTTTCTTCGTAGCTTAGTTAACTTCTAGCTCCACTAGAGCTTTACTTTTAGCCCTAGCTTTAGTTATGGAATAGCTTTATCTATAGCTTATTAGATTACTAGAGTAATAGCTTCTCTAATTGCGTCTAGCTGCAGCTTAAGCTCGTTATCTTAGCTTAGGAGTAGGTTTCTTAAATCTGCTTTTCTTAGTTGGTTAATCTAATCTAGGCCTTATAGAGCTTAGTTACTCTGTATAGCTTTATCTAGCTCTTCTCTAAATAAGTCCTAGTCTGCTCTTTTCGTATTATATCTTATTTAGCTAGTAGGGTTACTAACTAGGTTCTTTATTGTTTGGATTGAGAAGAGTATTCCGTAGTAATTAGATCCGATTTCTATCGTAGTTTGCCAGTCTTTAACTTTGTCTTCTAGATCTAGTGTAGCGATAGATAGATCTAGCGTTGTTTCTCTAGATAGATGGGGTCTAAAGAAGGTGGCTGTTCCTGGCGTATTAAGAAGGCTAAGGTGTTGGTCTTCTATCTAATCTGCTAGTTATTGGCCGCCTTAGCTAGTATTACTACTGCCTAGGTCCTACCAAGGGTGGTGCTTATTAGCGTCTATTAGTAGAAGAGTTAATATTGGTAGCTAGGTGTTTACAAGTATTCTTTGAAAGGTTTTTATATTTTCTTAGTTTTTTTAGTTATATACGTTGTAGATATTAAACTTTAAGCGTCCTTCTTATATCGTGATAGCAATAGCGTCAGGGTCAGCTATCTCCTTTAGCTAGCTTACCTCTGCTGTTAGAGATCTAGATATATAGAATAGAGCTCTTAGGCGGAGGTTTGGGTCTACTTTTAGAAAGATTTAGTAGAAGCTTTGGTGAGCTATTAACCTTAGGGCTTCGTAGTTATTACTGCTAGAAGGAGTAATCCACAGCTCTTAGATTGCAATAATATTAACTCTTTACTTAATTACTAGTTATAGTATTAACTCTGTAGCGTGTATACTTTTGTTTAGATTTATTTATAGTACTTTAAAATTTTCTATTATTATTTAATAGATAGAAGCACCTCGTAGTCTTTGCTATTAGCAAAATAGGGTTATTTATAGTTTTTATATTTTAGGAGTGTATAGTTATAGGCCTTTCTCTTCGCTTTATAAATACTACATTTATGCTAAGTAGTTAGGTAGTTTTCTACACAAAACTAGTAGCTAGCTAGGCTTTTGCACCTGCTAAAGTTGTGTCCGAATCCTTAGCACTTACTATATTAAGTAGTAGGTAGGATTTAGCAGTATTTCTTAACGCAGAGTAATTGGCCGAGAATTATTATTCTATTGCTAATCTTCTTCACTTCTTCTTTAGATTTAAAAGCAATAACAATAGAGCTTATTTACTTATCTTTCTAGCTTCTAGATAGCTAGTAGGGGTTCCCTATAATATTTTAGTTCTTATTATACGTTAGAATCTCTATATAGAGTAGCTAAAGACTTTTAGCTCTATTAAATATTATAGGCACTCTATGTACTATAAGTTTAGTCTAGAACTCTAGCAGCTAGGCTTTCTTAATTAGCAGCTAGTTTTGCTAAGTATTAATTTGCTTTAGTAGGAATTCTTCTAAGTATCCTTCGGTAGTTGTAAGGATAAGGTTATTTCTTTTACTTATTACTACTGTTACAAGCAACAAGAAGGATTCTCTCCTTGACGAGTGACGAGATGGCTGAAGGCCTAGGGACGTCCACGTCAGAAGGTAATGATCATCGCGGGGCGAAGATCACGTGATTGACATCACGCCAAGACAACCATCAGGCGCTAGTATGTGATGGCAGCAATCCTCTGATGGCAGCCGTCAGGACATCAGGCCAAGGAAAGGAAAAGTCGCGATGGCAGTGATGGCAGGACTGGAAGCAATGAGGATATAAGGATGGATGGATTTCATTATTACTCTCGTTGTGGTCAACTCAGATTGTACTTTCTTACTAGTATCTTTACTTAACAAGATTGTCACAAGTTAGTCTATCAAATAGATTAGTCTTGTCAAAAACCCTCCTTAAGCACGCCAACTCCACTGCATCGCCAGACAAGCCTCACGGAACACTAACGTAATACTCACCTGCCTTAGTGCGGACCAGGATAGAGAAGTATAGACCCATACCCCGTGTAACAACTACCTATTAGATAACTGGGCTAACAATACCTACCTTCTAGAAGGCTTAGTTAATCTTATTTCTTACTAGTAGAGAGCTAGTTATTTAGCCCTCTTCTAGTGTGACTAGCGTTTAGTAGTAAGATACTGGCTTTCTAGCTAGTTATATTTATTTATTTCTTAGCTAGACTATTATCTAGGCCTAGTTTAAGTTATTTACTGTAATTGCAGCGTAGGAGGTTTAGGCTAGTTTTTAGGCTAGTTAGCCTACTAGTTAAGCTTTATTAGAGGCTATACTAGTAGCTTATTTTAGTGTTTTTATTGCTTATTAAGAGGCGTTTGCGAGGGTCGCTGAGTAGTAAGCTAGTTTAGTAGATAGCTTTTCTATAATTTAGTTAGCTACTCTACCAGTTTCAGTATAGTCTCTAAAGACGTCTAGTAGCTCTAGTAGCTTATTTTGGGCTACGTGGGATTCTTCTATTATAGAGGCTTAAAGGATTAGATCTCTAGCCTAATAGATTGCCTGTTTAGAGTTCTTAGCGATTAGTTTTAGGCTAGAGGTATTCTAGTATAGATTTCTACCTCTATAGGTATTCTCTAGTGTAAAGTTAGCGTATTATTTATTTAGTAGTAGTATTAGTATTTCGAATATACTTAGTGTTAGTTAGTTTTAGGTAGGGGTGGCTGGAGCTAACTCTAAGTCTATTTCTCCATTAATTTAGGCCTCTAGTAGGCTCTTCTATCTGTTTTCTTAAGTATTTACCACAATAGTATCACTATCTAGCGGTATTTTATTACTAAGCTCTTTTCTTAGTAAGCAGCTAGATGGTCTGTGTGTTTTTGTTTTCGTGAGTGAGACGTGTTTAGATTAGCTACTTTACTAGCTTCTGGATCTATAGCGCGTAGGCTGCACGAGTTGGCTCTAGTTGTAATTGATTCCTTAGGATGGATTTGTATATATTTCGCTAAAATTACACCTATTCTGAAAAACTCGAAGTTGGTGTGTACGGTTGTTGGTTTGTAGTATGACATACTGCAAGTTTCGTCCTCTAAAAACAAAGGTATTTCTGAGGCGGTGCTGGCCCCCTAGCGATTTGCGCCATTCATCTCTTCTTTCACTTAGTTATGGGGATGACGAATAACCTTTGCCAAGCTGTAAATGGTGACTGGTGAGCCGTTGTCCGCGCCCCCGTTGCCACCCTCCGCCTTCTGTTGGCGGCTACTTTCTCGACGCAGGACACTCTCGAATCCGATTCGCCCACGGCTATGGCACACCCCACCCCGACCTCAACACTTTCTTCCTTCCAGGCTATCACGATGTTCTTTTGCAACGCAACGAAGTTCTTCCCTCTAGCTCCCACGTTAGCTGACTTGCTCCGCGTGACACTGTTCTAAAGAATCATCTAGGCCAATTCGCTCACTAGTAATTCTGTGGATTTAGTCCACCCTACTTGGCATCCAAAGCGAGTGGGGTAGGTAATTTTGTATGGATTGCCCAGAGTAGATGGCTCACACTTCTGTCTCTATGGGGTTCATCACCCTTGTCTTTTCTAAGCTTATAAACAGTCGACTGCCTCCCGTAGGTTTCCTTTGCACTATCGACGAAGACTTTTTGTGCTCAACAAGCATCATAACTTCGCTTTCCAATATACTCCGCACTCCGAGCATTGCCCTTCTCAAACAAAAGGCCCTTGAACATACGATACCATCTCTAGGATGAAGCATTTCTTCACCAATCTCTTCAACAAGATCTTCAGCCGCGGCGAGCGTGACCAGTCCCAGGATGTTTCTGGTGCCTCTAGAAACGATGCTATCGGTCCCAGAGTTCTCCATGACGGCTCCTTTGATACATCTGTCGGGGTAGATGTTGTCTTTATCCACGGCCTTCGAGGTTCTCGTGTTCAGACTTGGTCAGCCGGAGAGTATTTCTGGCCAAAGGACTTCCTATCAGAGGACCTGGAGAATGCAAGAATCATCACCTGGGGGTACGACGCAAACGTAGCTAATGGTTTCAGCTATGCAAGCAGGGAGAGTATACGTGGTCATGCTGAGACGCTGCTTCGTGATCTATACAGAATCCGACGCTCGACTGTAAGACCCTGACATTCACTTTTACTTCCCACAGTACTGAACACGCATTCTAGACACGGCCAATCATCTTTGTCTGTCATAGCCTCGGAGGCTTGGTTTGCAAGGAGGCTCTGATCATAGCTGCCGCGTATGATAAGCACCAACGCCACCCTAACCTTGCCGCTACCTATGCCAACACTAGAGGAGTAATTTTCCTCGGAACACCACATCGCGGAAGCGAAACGGCGGCTCTAGGACAAGTGCTTGCCAAGATTGCCGTCCTTCATCAGCCGAATATACAGCTGCTTGAGTCCCTTCAAGTGGATTCTCACACTCTAGAGAGGCAGCGTGAAGAATTCATTACCATCTCTAGGAGTCTCTCTATCGTGTGTGTGAGAGAGGAATTACCAACACGTATCGGCATGGTAATACCCCTGCAATCAATAACAGTTGTTCTTCGCTAAGATTCTTTAACAGATTGTGTCAGAGGCATCAGCATCCTATGATGGCTTTGAAATTGAGAGGGGAGCCATTCCTGCTGATCATGTCAATATGGTCAAATTTAGGAGCAAGGAGGATATAGGTTATGAAAGGGTTCTGTCTTGGATTCAAGAGATGCAGGGCTAGAGCCTCATGTGATAATGTTTAGTTGGGAACCAAGTCCCTACCTTGAGATGCGCTGCAACCTGTAGAGAATGGCCACGCTAATAGAGTAATTTTATGTTCAAAGTATAATAGTAGATATTTAATACATACTATGAAATTACTAAGTTTCAGCACTAAGAGAGTCGATTACATGGAGGCTGGCGTATAGCGCCAAGGTCCATCACGAAAAGATCACAATCTCTGAAAGATTTATCATATGTTGATCCTTGAAAAAAGAGAGATATTTTTTGATTGAGATGAAGAATGACAATGTTTTCAACCCGTACCCACCGAATGTTGCCACGAAGTGTTGTGACTTTCCTTTTGTGCTGTCTTGCAGAGAGTAACGTGACTTGGTGGCTGAGCGGGGTCTGCCTAGAGCTGAAAACTAACATCAGTCACGGGTAATTGCACAGCCCCGTAAACAACAACAGTATAAGTAGTTGAATGCCTTGAAACAGGTGTAAGTGGAAGCTCAAAATGCCGGACAGCATCTCTTTGAAACCTGAAGTCCAAATCTACGTACCGTAAGTAGGACTACATGCGCTGGATGCTGCAAGCTGCGTCTGGAGAAACTGAATCTGTTTAGATATGTGCATATGGAGAAACATATCAACAAAACGTCCGATGGCCTCGTTGTGCTCGAGAGAGATCAGAAGAGTACGAATGCCCATACTGGTTGCTTGGTCGCTTTGAGTTGTGGCGCAAGTATCTGGTTATGCGGTACTGGGCTTGGCACCATCGGGTTGGCGATGCAAGAACGAAGTCACAACAACCTGTTAAGATACTTGCAAGATGTATGTCTACTACATATTTTTTTTCCTGTAATTTGCTTACGAGACAGATTGTGGCTGGTCCAATACAGCAGTCGTCCAGCGCTGCCTTGGCTGGAAGCATAGCCTTGTGTAGCGTTGGGTATGTGACAGCATGTATAATAGCTTATCATCGGAATCCAAGTTTTGTCGCATTCACGACTGCATTTTGCATCGCTGCAGTCTTTTTCGAAGGCTTGTGGAATGGGCTCCGTGTGAGCCTCATGGAAAGGCTCGCAGTTGTGATGCCGTTAGCAATCAACATCGGTGTTACATTGGCATTGAATCGTCGAAGAACCCCAAAGTCTCGGGGTTTACGGATAGTTGGCGACAGTGCATAGCAAGTCTTAAGATACGATTCTTTTTCTATTCATGGGAACTGTTCGAGCGATCCGGACGTGGGTCGATTCACCGGGTTTGGTTGGTGACTAGGCATTCTTTAGCAGATGCAAACGAATATCATTATCGCAGATTGCAGTATCCTAATTTAATTTTGATGAAAGATCCAAAAGCGCTCGTATCTGAGGCGGTTAACGAAGATGATTTGGATATAAAATAAAATTGACCATCATATGTTGCATGGGGATGAAGATGATCCGCCCAATAAGTTTGCGCACTGAAGCAGGTCACTAGGGTGTGGGGGAGGGGGAGCATGGGGGGAATCCCAGCGCGGGTGCGGCCCGTGCCCTGAATACTTACCATCCCATCGTCATTCGGTCGGTATGTAGGATCTCCGCAATTAGGCCCAATCCGCCTTTCTTCTCAAAAACGCATCTATATCTTCCAGAACTCTTAGGCGACAGCAACTAGGTATAGTTTGGAGCGATTCGCGCCATAGTCAGTGTAAGTCAATTATCATGGACATTACCACGCACCAATTCACCCTCCACACATCTGCACAGAAGCGACTGACAGACTCCTCGTACATAGCACCTGCTGTTGCTGCCCACCTAGGCGCAAGTAGAGCTTACTTTATTCTTGAATGTACACGCTGCTACATCAAGTGCTATGCGTCCCTCAAGAAGCCTGCGTCCAGGCCAAGGAAGTCAGGCACGGGAATCTGGTCGTGGAAGGGGCGCGTCCTCCCATAATCAGACTACGTCACGAAACTACCGCAACGAACGAGATTACCAAAACCTCGATACGCTACCGCCCCCAGCGCACTGGCTGCAACCTACACCGGCGATAGTTCAGTACAACTTTCACCACCATCTGCCAATAGGAGGAACAAGTCAGGTTGTGCAGACGCATTCAAGCACAGGATATATTGTGGGCGATGTGTTTGTACCGATATCAAGCACCATAACTACGACTGTATCCACTGAGTCGCATATGGAATACGGGTCACCACTGGAGGCGTACAGTCCAGCAAGTGAACCACCAGAACCTTTGCCATCCCATTTGGACAGCCATTATTTCGACAATGTCGGCTCACAATTCGCTGCTGAGGGCACTCCATCGCTAGCCGCAAGCGATGGATCAGGCGACTATACTGGTATACAGGACGACCGCAGCCCATATCCTCCTGTCATGGACGTTGCTAATGACGGCAGAGCTGGAGGCTTCGACCCAGCTAGAATGCCAGACCTGAACAAAGGAGGTGAGGTTGACTCCGACCGAACCGATTTGTTGCCATCGGACCCCTCCAGGGCTTATTTGGAATCATTTCCTGATGAAGCCTGGCTTCGCCCAATTCCGCTACGCATACGGCGTGCTTCTACATTCCCGCTGTTGGGCCAGTATGGGGATGCTACTGAGAATCTGGTAAGCCATTCTGCATCTTTCCATGTCTTTTTGGGGTTCTTTTGGCTAACAATTCTTTAGGCGGATAACCTAGAAACACTGCAAGTAACGACTGGTTGAAGTCGTCATGATTCCTACATTTCTATCCATCCAGGCATCGGAGAGTCATGTCGTGTGAGGCATTGGCGTTGGCATTGGCTTTGGCATTGGCGTTGGGAATATAACCTTGGAGATTGACGATGGATATACGCGGCATACTTGCAGCAAGATTTCACGCTGTACATTAGACAGGTGCTCATATGGGGAAATCACTGCTTCGGGTCCTGGTAATGAGAGACCATGGTTCTGCCCCCAGACGATACAATTCAAAAGACGAGTGACAACTATGACACATACTGGGGAAAGAAGGAGGTCTAGAGTTCGAGTGCTTGTATTTAAGAACCAACAGTAACGGATAGACACTCCATGCAGAACATCTATCCCTTAATGGGCTAAGAACTCTAAGGGCTATATACAACAGCCGTATAATGAAACACCGAAGCGCTGGGTGGAAGACTACCACATGGCTAAAGCGGGCACAAGAGAGCCAGGTGGCGCAACAACATGGCCGCCAGAAGAGCGTCGAAACATCGGGTGGATCGATACTCGAGAAAGGAATGAGAACGCCTAAGCGCTGGGTTACCTGATGCAAGATAACAATAGCAGCGATGAACCGCTGAGTGATGACCACGAAGTGGAACGCCGAAGCGCTGGGTGGCATGTGATTAAAACGAAATCCAAACAAAAGCAAGCCACACCCGGAACGCTTCCGAGGTGGGCTATACAACTCCAGTCTTTATATTCTTGATGGGTATCATATCGTAGTCGTCTTGGGGTATCATGAATGCGGTGTGATGAATGTGCGGCGGTCGTAGAGCGGGTGCAACGTGCAACATCGTGAGAGTCGAGAAGTAAGAGGGCATACGTGTAGTCGGAGGATGGGGATGTTGGACGTTGCGCGGCGACCGGTAGAGACGATGAATGATCTAACCGTTGTTGCCGGGTTGGGCGTCCAAGTTCGCGAGTTGGTGCGCCCCTTCAAGGCCGAGCTCAGGGTCGTGCGCGTCGTCTTGAGGTTGCTGCTGCGGTGGAGGCTGAGGGGGTAGAGTTTCGTACCCCCAAAAGCCATTCCAGGTTTTGCGCAGCAATCCGGACTCGACACTGTTGGCTACTTCTTCGATACCAGCGCGGACGATGATGGCTAGGTCCACGACCAGCGGGCCCCACACGAACCAGTCGAACAGGTCAAGACCTGCCCAGATCATGGACCCTGTCATGAGAAGTGCAAGGACGAGGGAGAACACCGACCAACTGCAGGCAACATTAGACATGGTTCATAGATTGGTACCTATGTCATTAGGTGAACGGCTTACTATGGATGTTCTTTGGCATAGTGCCATGTCATGCTAATGTAGACGACCGTGCAAGCGACGTACACTGTGCTCGTGCTGGTACTGGTCAGTTGAGGATCCAAGAAGAGTTGGGGAACCTCACGACATACATACATAATGTTCAGAGCCCAAAGTGGAAAGCCATTTATGTGGTTAAAGGGGTGTTCTTTATATCGAGCCGCAACGTTAAGGAAGAAGTTCCAGAGACCAATCAGGACCATGAAGAAGAACACAACAAGTCTGATTGAACGGGGTGTGCTAGGCTCCATGATGTACTTGTTTTGGGCAGGAGTGAGGAGGTCGCGTTGTAGATGTGGCGTGTTTGCGGTGGTGTTTGAGTGGGATGAGATGGGCCGACGACGGGCGACGCCGATGGGTGAGGTTAATGCGAGGAGGAGAAAGATGCTGCCAGGCAAGGTAGCGGTTGTGAGCTCAGTGCGAGCCCACAGCCAAGTTGAGGACTGCAAGAAGCAAATAACAGTTGTCCAAGGTGTGTGCGATGGTTTGTGTTGTAGAGGGTGGGCTGCGCGGGAGGCCTTTTAAAGTAGCTGTGCAACTTTGAGCCGCAAGGAGGAGCTCACTTGTGCTAGCAAATGACTGTACTAACAACCCCGCCGAAACATCCGCCCCTAAACACTCACAAGCAATGCTATTAATCCCTGTTGCCAAGGGCCGGGAAAAAGAATCGCCTAAGGCAACACTGTGCTAGCCAAGGTCGTGCTCACCGATTTCCTTCCTTGAACCACTTCAATTACCACAGTTGTTGCAAGGAGATTTCTCACGCATTGTTCTCCAACCCCGTGCAGGAACTTTACAAGAGCGGAACGAAGCTGGCACTTGGACAGCCACACGCTGCGCCAAGGTCTCCAAATTTGCACAGCCTCAACATAGCCCCGTTTGCGTTTGGTGATAATTTACTTAAAGGCAACGCATATCTGATATTCGGAATGCTTTTGCAATATACGCTCCTTAGGTAGGTGGACTGACAGCGGTAATGAGAGCAGCTAGAGAGGTGGTGCTGACAATCATAGCTCGACTTCGGCGTCATGGGGAAGCGTGTTTTAAACAACGATACCAATCGGCGATACTCTTCCCACAGGCGGCCCCGGCTGCTGGGATTCGCTATGGGGACGGCAATGTGGGTATCGAGCGCTGCAACAAGCACTTCGATTCTTGCATTGCAACCCCACCCAACCGGGAACGATGTTCTCAGGAGATGGCAAAGCGTAAGCCCACCTTCCTTCCTCATCCAGTGGCTTGCAATAACGCTGATGTTAGCGGAAGTTTATTAGTCAACAAGTGAAAAACATACCAGACTCGGTACTCTTCACTGGCATCGCACTCTGCTCGGCACTCTATGCTGCTTCTTGCATGCACGTTTACCACACAGCCCCAAGGTCCGTGTCGATTACGTTGACAGCGTGTATTCTCTTAGTCTTTTTGGAAACAGTTTGGAATGGCCTTAATGTGACACCTGTAGAAAGGCTAGCTGTTGTTTTGCCGAGCCTGGTCAACATTGGACTTAGTTGGATACTTGTTCATCAATCGAGAGAACTACCCAAAATTGTTCTGGAAGGGCTCGAACCAGAGGTGTGACAGAAATAGCTACAGCGCACCTTGCTCTCCCCAGTCTTCTCCACTCTTAGTCCATGCGGGCATACTAGTGGAGACAGAGCTGAGAAGAACCCAAACTCCCTGCACCATATACGTTATCAATAGATATATAACCCAGTTGTTTTAAACCTCTTTTCTCGGCGTGAAGCAAGCAACAAGCATGGTCGAGTTTTGAATGACATTGGCTGCATGCGCGAGTTGCCTGATGAGCTTCATAGTCTGTGGCGCTGATCGCGGGGTCGGAGCTAGCTGAATTGCAAGAAGCCTGGGCGGGCTGTTACTTGTTCTCCCTCAGTCCATTTCGCCAACTGTAAGCACCTACCAGAGCTTTCTGAAATCAGAACAGACCTCGACCATCTAACTCTTCCTCGTGTTTTCAGGTATTGTGCTTGGGTCTTCGATACGCGAACTTTGGTGACAGGATGTCACGAAGAGCTATGTTGATGTCGTTGAGCGCAGGCGTGATGGAGGTTGACTTTCAATCGGCTAGTGAAGCTTGTACGAGTAGGCCCTAACCAGAATGTCTCTTTAAGTCGCTAATATTACTGATAAGCTGTCGTTGACGACGAAACGAGCGACCAACCTCTTCCGCCAACCGCTATCGCATCTCAGCCCACATCGAGGATGAACCAGGGCTCGTCGTCTGAGCCCTCCCCGCGCGATGAGAGGCGTAGGGTGTTTTTCCGCAAGTACCTCGATCCAAATAACAGAAATCGGACGCGGCCAAATAACGCGAGGGATACAAGCGGAGTGCAGAAAAGTGCTCATGAGCAACGCACCCAGTCCAATAGGCTGAGTGAGAACACAAGGAGCAATCCGGAAGGCCGTACTTCGCATGCTCGAATCATTCCCAGTCCTCACTATCCTCCAGTGCCAACTACTCAGATCTATAACGTCCACTACCATTACCAGGTACCACCATACTACGTTGATCTTGACCCATGCGCACCTGTCCACTTCCAACGAGTTATTCCCAACCAGTTGCAAGATTTGAGACCAATACCCCATACTAGCGCTCGGCCTATCATCGCTCATGGTGCTCACGAGCAAGCCGTAGGCTCGCAGGGCCGACCGCAATCGCAAATACAAGCACAGCAACAAGCCCTTGAAATAGCTTCCGCTGCAGCACAGCAGCAAGGCTTGAACTTCATTTCACGGCCGATTGCTAGCTCTGATCATGGCCACTTCCCTCATGTGGGTGTCGCCATCACACCTCCCTCGAGCGCCAACGCTGAGCCGAGACCGATCACGCGAACGCAAACCATGCCAGCTCGGACGACCCTATAGCTCAGCAGATCTTATTTAGTTTTACCATGGTCCATATAAATGTATTTTTCTCAAACCCCGCGGTTTCCCAAATACTAACTCTTTTGATAGATTGCCACGAATGTCGTCAGTCGATCCGTGTTACACGTTTACTCGATTCCATTTCTTTTAGGCGTTGCAGGCGTTCCAGTTGTCGATACATCTTTGGTATCCGATATAAACCGGTCCTCGTGTAGATTGGATCACTGGCACAAGATCGGACAGAAGAGGGAGATGATAGGTATAGGCGATATGAGGGAAGACGTTGACATTTTCTTCTAGTGTGCGGGTGAGGACGGACGGAGGTTAAGTGGAGTTCAGGCCGTGTCTCGGCATTGGCGCCGATCAATAAAATTGCGCTACCAATCTCGGAGAATTGCTTATGCAAGTGAGCATGATTCGTCACGGATGTTGATAGCCGTTATTGTGTAACAATGAACCCAGTCTATATTACACAACGCAAGGCTGCAACATGCGCTAATAGCCCTTCGATCACAGCGGAGACTACTATGTTATGTCGTGTAGGCTGTGGTCGCTCCTATATCGAATTTTTTTTCAGTAGACTTTGGGCTCCCAAGCAACATGTTTTAGTGGCAATCAGACAAGAGAGAGCGGGCTCTCTTGCTCGCTCTGTATGTGGTCGACGCATCGTGGAAAGAGCAGTTCTCTGATATTAGAGAAATCGCCGCAAATGTGGTGGTGCCTACCTGATATAGCTTAGCGTAGATACTACACAGTGGTCCGGATCTCTGGAAGATCCAAACAATCAATCTTACATCCCGCCTCTACACCCATCAACCTGTGGAGTAGGAAGGCGCACGATAATCTTCCTGCTGGATGGCAGCTGCGAAAATCTCGATATGCAGGTTGCCGCAAGCCCACTGCGCAATCTTTTTCGCAGTTTCATTGTTCCTGGCAACCCATCGACTTCCGGCCGGAGCTCAGCTTATATAGCCTGTCTTCGGTGATGTTGCTGTGTATGTTGTCTAGAATACACCTGGTTACACTTGAGTATTTCAAGATATGGCCCTTGATAACATCGCTAGATGTGACCACCACAACTTTTCAGTTCGCGACGTGGCGGCCAATTGCAGTGGGATCGCGATACGAATGATCCATGTCACCTCGTTTAGGCATCGAGTTGCGGCGTAGCCACGATATATACCTGCTGTTGGGTATTCCGTTCTGAAATACCAAGCACGGCTGCTGGCGTCGAAATCCCCACGAGGGTAAGTCCCGATAGTAGCCATGTTGATCATGCCATCTTTCTCTACAAATCTATCCCCAAGAAATCGAAACTCGGCTGGACATTTGCCTGTGTAAAGGATAAGATGATTCTCAGGTAACGTGGGGACCGGTTCGACAAAGGTGCAAGTGGTTTACAGATAGAAACCGCTAGCACTTATGCCACTGTGGGCCATGCCGGATGATGCATGAGTCTGGAAACCAGGTGATTAAGAAGATTGAGCCTCGTTGCCACCGAAAAGATTTTCCATCTTAGGTCGCTTTTTCTGTCTCTTGGCCAAGAGTGCACTTTCCGCAGATTTCTTGATTTTCTCGTCAATGAATAGAACATGATTAAACCTCATTCGCAGCGTATCGAAAGCCTAATAAAAAGGAGTTTCCGTCTCACATACCTCCCAAAATCCTAGATTGAGGACGGCGGCGATGGTGTCTGCTGTAAGTCCAACGCTGGTGTACGCATCCGCGACTGGCAGATATTCAAACCTAGTATTCAGTTGCGTGAGACGTCCCCGAATGAACGAAAGCAATTCAGCTTCTTCATCCTCTTAATCATTAATCTAAGCTGACTTCAGATTGTCGAAGATACGTTGTGCTGTATCTCTATCCAGGCCGGTGAACTCGAGTGCTTCGACGCTTACTGGGGAAGCGGGGTACACCAAGTCGGGCAAAGCAACCAAGGATGGCGAGAGATAGCTCGAGCTTATCTTGCACTTGGACGGGCCAATTCATTCTACAAGTTTGTGCTCATGAAGCGCCTCATATCCCTCCTGGTTGGGTTTTCCAGACATCTTGCGGGTCGAAGTTGAGTGGGATGTGTTCAAGGGGAGCGCAGTACTAGCTTCACCCTGTAAGGGAGTGTCAGGCTACCAGGATGAAAACCAAAACTTACTCCTAGATTTTGATAACCATTTTAGAATTAAACCCCATTTTTCCTTCTGTGTTCCGATTTGCAGGAAGGATTTTCTAAGTTTTAGTGCCGAAGAAGCTCTCTTAATTTCTCCTTGACTGACTACTGCACCATTCGAGGAAAAAAGATACTGTATCTAGCCACTTCAGATAGCCCTTCTTAGCCAATATTACAAGTATCAATAAGGATGGATGAATAGCGATTGGAGGGGGGAGGCCATGTTTTATAGTGTCGAAGGTGAGTCACGAGCGGAAAGTATGGTTATGGCCTCCGCCAAACATGGTTATGTCCTGCGCAAAAACGCAGGGGCACTTCGCATTACCACTACGTGATAGCTAACCAAATAAGGAGCTTAATCTGGGGCGAAGTGAACCAGAAATTTTAGCAAAATAATGCGTATCATCGTACTAGGGGACTGGTATTTTCGACAAGATGGGATTGATGACGCGCTTGGCACTCTGCAAGACATTGAATGATTACTTGCGTGTCTGCCTGAAAAAGTTATAGAATAGCGTAAGGTACATATTAGAGTGTTAGATTTTATTAATTAGTGCTGCAGAAAATAGATAACACTCTAATTGCCAGATTAGAATGGATCTTAGGATCTTCTCACTGAGTGCATCTCAAAGACTGAAGCTATATCAGTCTGAGAAGAAGTATACCAGAATCAAGTAAGGAGCGCTATAATTAGTTAAAGTTTCAGATGTGCTTAAAGTTCAGAGATGCTTGGAGTCCATAGGGTAGCGGGCTCGCTTATCTGAAATATTACGCGTACACTTACGTGGGGATTCGCGGTGAAGAGCACAGCCCCCCACTTCAGATATTCGACTTCATAAGTTCGAAAAAATGGAAATTATCAGCTCTGGGTACCGTTATCGAAAGCCTTTCTCGCATTCACGGATGCAGCACTACTTCCGATAACAGAAATGCCATTCGACTTCGATGCGTATGATAAGAAGTGCTCTCAGATGTCACCGGAGGAACTACACCTTGAATGGAATCACTATACACGTCTTATCAGCGGTGCGGCAGCTTCAGCTACTCTCGGTGGATCAGCACTGGTGTTTACTGGGGGTGTTAGTATAATTGGAGTTGCCATTGGGTCCGCAGGCTTTTACAATGCTCGAAAGAAGCGTCAAATCCTTAAACGACATCTTGACCGAGAACATCGTACGAATCGTAAGCGAGACATAGTGGGATCGGCGGCCTTCAACGGTGCTGTGGGACTGACGACACTTGGTTTGGGGACTCTGGGCGCTGAGAAAGTACTGGAGCTGGGTATTGAAAACGGGGTTTTTGGACGCGCAGCTGAAACGGGGGTCAAGGTTGCAACCGGAGTGGTGGTGAACGGAGTCAACACGGCTGCCGATGACAGATATCATACACATAAGAAAAAGAGAGAAGCAAAACGCGCCTGTCTAGCTGTCGAGAGAAAACACGAAGACGGACAGAAGAAGCGCAGTACAAGAGTGCTCGGTTCAATCAATCAACGTTGACTGGGAGTGGAGATTTTAGCTATGAATATGTATTGCCCATACATACCATAGGTTCAAGCATAGGAGTTGAGCACCAATCTAGGTTAGAAGGTAATGATTATCCCGGTGCGAGGATCATCTAACTTGCTATCCCGCCAAAGGAGGGATGGACACGCTATTATTATACATCCTCTGGAAGGATATATCGAAATGATGGAAGGGACAGTATAACTAAAAGTAATGAAGATACATAGATGGAAAGATTTTGTCATCACTCTTGTAGTGGTAACTCTCAAAAAGCACTTTCTTACAAGTTCTTCACTCCATAAGATGGTCGATGTTAGTCTATAGCCGTGTCATGCATAGGTATGGTAAATCAATCTGGGTATTGCCTCTGTGATTTAATATCTTCAATTTTCCCTGGTGTGCAACAGAGTTGTATGCCAGGGGTGTTAGGCCAAGTTTTACTGTTCGATAGGGCCGATATGATGTCATTGATATCATAAACCTAGCCTAACACTACCGCATGGACAGAAAGCAATCTATTTATCCCCTTCTTTCGTATTCCGTATAAGTAGAGGCACTAAAAACTTTAAGATTTTATAGGATATAGTAACGATATAAAGAAGTCTTCTTATGAATGAAGCTACGTATGTAGTAGTGTGAGCGTAGAGTTAGTATCTCGCAACTATATATAAGAGTGATTAATAGAGAGGTAAGCCATCTATTGAAGAGCCTATATCTGCGTACAGATTGGAGATACATACTCTCTCTCCTTAGCTTGAGTATCGCTAGGGCGAGCAGCCCAATAGTAGTGTCTTGGCGCCGCGTCCAGGCACAGCCTATGTGAACTGAATCCGGGTGCCGGCTCTTCCGGCACCCGGATCCTGTGATCGTACTCGATTATTGCATTACAACTACAGCGGCAACAGGGGTGTACCACCCTTACAGGAAAAATGATAGCTATACTTTACACATCAATGACAATGGTATATTGCAGAGACAGAGAATACGCAAAAGTTTTGGTACAAAACCGCGCAACTATGGATGCAACCCACTAAGTTATTGGTCAAGCCAAATCCTTCATACTAAATGACGGGACTACCAGTGGCAGTTTAAGGGCGTGCGTGCTCAAAGAGCTAGGTTATCTATTTTGGTAATCACTCTTACGCTAAGGAGAAGCATTGATTGGAAAGAAAACTCGAATCAACTGTGGGCCAAGGGAGAGTCTACATAAGAATAGAGCCGCTTTGCTGTGATTGATCGATTGATCGATCTTGCCCTACGTACTTACTTAATTTTAGTCATAATCTCCACAGCTATGTCTGGCTGGGAAGCTTGGCGAATAGCCAACACGTGGCATGCAGGAGCTTAGTACCAGAAGCCGATTGCGCATGTCAGCGTACATTCGTTGGGAAACAAATTTCAATCAACATTGTAAATAAGCTGGGAAAACAACGAGAAGTTAGCGGGATCTTTCAAATACGCCTAAGAGAGAATAACGGGATACGGCTGTTGTGCGGACGGTTTCGCGATGTAGACGCGTCGGAGATGACATCCTTGCCAACTGAGCTACGTAGCTGCGCCACTGAAGAGACACGCAAGAAACACGACGGAGCAAAACGAACACTACCATAGGCTATTACTACAGCCAGATCTATTGGCCGACGACTCCGGGACTATCTAGATCGAAAGCAGCCAACCCATCCCTCGAACTAGGAAGAGCAATGCCGCCAAAAAGGATGTACTTCCCGCGTTGACTAAGGTTATCTAGTAGCAGGAAGAAACAATCCAGAACCTTGAACGCAAAACAAGAGAGGTCAGAAAGGAATAGCAAGCTATCACTAATTATAATGTTGAAAGTTTTAATAGGGTTACTAACCACCTCGTGGCAACAGCATCCTCTAGTGCGCATATCCAGGCCTCGGTTGCACCCGCAAGCGCGCCTGCGGAACTAAGCGCCACACCTAGAACGCTAGCAAATCAGCAGCACACTAACAGTGTTAACGAGTCTTGATACCAAGGCTATCGATTATGCATAAAGTCACTACATATAGATTCGAATCTCTTGTCATGACACCTAGACTCCAAACCAGATAAGATGAACCTTAGCTTCAGATTTATTGCATTATTTGCACTGATTAATAGCCTTGACAAGAAGCTGGGCTTCATAGTTGAGAATGAGAGCATAATACCATGCTTGACAACTTTACAGGCAAAGCTGTTAAGTATGGTAAACGCCCCACCAAACTTTCACATTCTGTTGGGGGCCACAATCCACTATTCCACTGGCTCCGACCCTTCCTTGCCATGCGAACCTTGCAATAGCATCGCGGGTAAGATCTCTAACATCCTCATTTCCGATGGTTGTGATGACGTTGTTCACAGTCCTAGCGCCGAATTCGCAAGTTCCCCAGCTTGCAATTCGTTTCTGCTGGGGTTCCACAAACTTTAAAATATCAATCAGCGAAGTCTTTTAATTTGATTAGAATCTAGAGAAGCTTACCCAAGAACCATCGCCAGCAATCCTATCAAAAAGCGTTTGACAGTCGGCAATCCAAGGAGAACCACCAGAACTGTTGTTGATAAAGGTCGTAGCTCCGCAATAGTTGAGTCTCTTCTCAAGCATAGATCGTGGAGCTGGGCTTGTGGGTGCAGCAACAGCAGAGGCGGCCAAAGAGGCAACAATGACAGGAGTTGAGAAACGCATGTTGAAAGTTCGGGTAGTTGCTCACTCAAAGAAGAGGTTGTATTTGCTGTAAGAGAAGTTAGAAGTTCCTGGCTGTGATGTTAGAAAGAGGAGTTTTTGTCAATACTTTATACTTCTTCTACCAGCAGCATTACAGCATTATAATATAGACTAGTGCTGTAATTAGAAACTTCAAGATAAGACAAAATAAAGCATCTAGACCCGAATGAATACCCCTGTGACACTTTTAAAGTGGTGGGCCTAAGTGATTCCCTTCCTTGTTTGCCTGACCTTGGAAGGAGGGGTATGAAAGCTCAATGAGTAGTAGTCTGATCAAGAAGGTATCTGTTCTATGAGAGGCGCTATAGATCGTAAGTTCTCTTCTTAACCAAGATCTGCTAGCCCTAGCTCTGCCCTTTTTTTTAAGTGTGAGTACATTTAGCACAGAAATAGTTTGATCGCTTATATCCTGGAAACATGCTACGAAGTGTTTTTCAATTCATCCAGCATGAAATCGCTTCTCATCTTGACTTATCTCACTCAAGAAATAAGTCGCTGTCCTAAGATGCAGGTTGACAAGAGTCATAGGATGTTGAAAATGCAAGAACTATACGGCAAGGTAGTTGCGCAAAGAAGTAGAGAAACACGTGTAACACTATTCAGTAGACATTTGATCAAATCGGCTGTTTTGTGCATCATCTGCAATGTTGCTGCCCGCCTGGTTTTCTGGATATTAGTGCGCATGCGATGCAAGGCTGCTCGTGTCTTCCGAGGCTAAAATCTCAGTAGGATTCGCCAAGATAGATACTCCGGGTACTACAACCTGTACCGGAAAAGCTAGGAATAACGTCGGCACTACTTTCTAAAATTAAATCTGTACACTCCACATTGTTTATACTAGCGCTTGGTTCTTCACATTAAAAGTACAAGGGCTTCAAGCTGGCTATTTGTATCGACTACGGTTAGACTTACTTTTAAAAGTAAATTTTGCAGGTATATGGGTCGTACTCCTAGAAATCGTAATTTGCTTACAAACGAAGTCTTCCCCATTTTTATATCCGGCGTATAGAGCGGTCAAGAGTCCTGAAAAGTGGGGAGGCCTAAACAGTGGGGGGCCTAAGAAGTAGAGCCTGGAAAGTGGGAGTCCTAAAATATGGGAGCTATGCATACGAGCTGCAAATTGGATAATGCGGGGAAGATTTACATGGTGTCTACCGCAAAAATTCCTAGACACGCACTAGTGCAGTATGTTAGGATAGTCTCCGGTTTAGTATCGCCAAGATGACTTTATGAAGGATATATTGGATAAATTTTGCCAGTAGTGACAATAGAAGGCCTCAAATCCTGCAAAAATCGAGCACGGCTGGGTCCATTGAAGTGCCCAATGTCTCAAAACTCGAACACTGCAATATATCAAATTCAGCCACTGTCTGTTTGCACAATCAGCTGTTATGCGAACCCTTTTAGATGCGAAATTTGCAATTATTTAGACTAAATTTAGAGATAGAACCTTTCTTCTTAACAAGCAAGTGTAGAATTGATCAGATAGGGTAGATAAAGATCACCTCTGCTTTTCATTAGTGCTTGAAAACTAACCTTATTTTATCTAGACTGGCACCCATCCATCCATTGCGACCTGCGTCTAGGCTCTAGAAACATCCAATATTCTATTACAGCACGCCTTAACTGTTAGCTTTCGCAAAACCAACGTCTTCGGTCACCGTAGTTTACACACTGCTCATATTGTAAATGCGGGGTTGAAATTGGCCCAGCTAGATCAAAAAGCAGCTCTCGTCTTGAGTAATATCCAGTGCAGTAATTATGTCAGTGAGTGCGTAACGGTCGCTACAAGGTCAACGATAAACCCTCAGTTCTATCATAGAATTGATGAGCCCGAATGGAGCAAGTCTGTTGATACGACCATCTTCCAGAACTTGGGGCACCTGTTCTATAGAGCATACGTGGACTCTTGCATGACAAAAGGCTTCACTATATCCAATACACATGCTTCAACACAAATGCGAATTTAGTATCTTAAGGGATGGTAGCCGTCTGTCGTCGTCTTGGAAACTATTGAATGAAAACTATAGACGGACCCAACGCGCTGAATAAGTTAGAGTCACTGGCTCTCAAAATCACTGCGTTTTGTCGGACGACAGAAGGCGTCTGGGAATTACGGCCGGATGATAGATACAGATACTATTGTCGCGGGTATGCTCACTTGCTTGCGCGAAAAATATATCTTTACATCAGATGCAAACTTGGTTAACAAAGGCCCTGCTGCAAAGCAGGATTGAAGGAGCGACAGGTAACACCAATTACTTTACTAGCGCCCACGAGTTATGGTAGAGATATGGTTGTTTTTGTATGTTCTGAGAGTGGGAGTAGGAGCAGAGCCGCACAGACTATGGATGGAGGGTAGGTAGAGTCGCATTAGCCGAGGGTTGAGTTACATTACCTGTGGATACAATTATGGTAGAGGCAAAATCCTATGTAATTCTATCTCTACTGTACCTCTACCCATTCACCAGCTTGCTACAGAAAAGGAGCTGCGACGGCTAGTACAGAGATTAGCACCTTCTTTCCACAGGAGTACTAAGTTCTTAAGCTCCGAATTTTCTTCGAACATACTAATTCAACCCTGTCAATATAGATCGGTCCTTTTGCCATTGGTCCGCTCGGATTCTGAACAAATAAACTAGCTGTATTTGACCTAGTATGCTGAGTATCATCATTGGTAAACTGTGATTGGCGGGCTAGCAAGTAGCCGCTCCGGCTCTGGAAGAGCAGCTTGGTACCTATGTTTGCCTTATTTTACCACTTTTCTATGGTGTAAATGAAGTAGCTGGATGTGTAGGCCACCCACTAGTCCCTCGACTCATGAGAACGAGACTCTTGGTATTCGGTGCCATAACTTCTTTTGAGCCTTGGCTTTGTAAAACTCATATATACACACCGGTTCAAGGAATATTCAATATTGGGGCCGTGTCTGCAAATGCATTTTGCCCAGCAATGTAGCGTTATCGGAACCCATAAATCCCAAGAACAAGGGACATTGAACTAATTATAGCCACCATCTATACCTCCTTAAATTGCCGTCTAGATCGCACGCCTAAAAGATGACTGTGCTAGAGCCACGGACACATTCTAATTGGCACAGAGGATGTTTATTACCTTACTGCTATTGCTTGGGCAGGATACGATCGCACACATGGTTTGTATTGAACTTCTTCATGAAGACTACGGTATAGAAATAAATCAAGGGCACAGGGTAGGACACCATACGCATCTGCGCCGAATCTACGATGCACCCATGCGCACCTGTATTGGCACACGACTGACCCATGTACTCTGTAAGCACCCGAACTTCCAATCGTTGCTGACTATAAGAATCTTCTCTTTGTATAAGAGTAACTTCTTGCGCACTCACTTTGATCATTCACTCATTTTTCCAACTAACAACCTCATAACCTAGTTACTTCTGTTTTGAGTGTTCGTACCTGGACAGCATGTCGCGGATTATGGATGAGCGATGTGGCGCACATGTCCCAGAATACATGATGGATTTGTAGTGGCTTCCTACTAATCGGGAATTGTTTAGCAAGGCTCACAGTGGCACTGCGGTCTGCCAAGGAAACCGGAGGGTTCGTCCTTAGGGCGCAGAATATTATCTTGGGTCGATGTGACACTGGTGATGTAACTACGCTCGAAGGTGGTGGTTGTGCTGGATCTGAGAACATAGTGATGTTGTAGCGAAGTGGCTTTTTGGCCTAATACGAGAATGAATACCATCGAAATAGGACGTACTTGCATGCGCATTTGAAAAGAAGAACTATGAATGTCTGCCTCGTAATGGTCACATCTGCCTGCTTGCATTCATCTCCTCTCACCCACGTACCTTCTGAAATCTAACCGGTATTTCAGGCCTATATGAGGATTCCTATCACTTAATTCTCGAAAAAAACTGACTTTCAACAATGTTACGATGGTCATCAGCGCCAGCTGATATGGACGAAGGGTGACCTAGGCATTGGCAAAACAACCTTTATCAACTGCACCAGTTTTGAGCGGGAATTACAGCTTGGAAAATCGAAGACAAACCTGAGTCTAGAACTTGAAGATGACGATACCGACATTGAGTCTTTTGTTGACTTGGGGTATGGTACAACATCGGAAGTATCTTCTGTTTATTTGATCATCAATGTGCTTGGAGCTACTTGCTCTCCTTGTTCAAGACAAAGAACTTCAAAGCCTTTTCAGCTCAGCCCTCGACAAAAGTCATTGCTTCCGAGTTCGAACGTTCGTTCAGGATCATAATTGGCCAATTTGCGCGGGGCCTGCGAAACAAAGCTCACAATAAACGAGAGAGGGGCATTGCTTACGTCGGGCACACAGTTGCTGGCTATTTTTCCAATTTCATTTGCAAGCAATATAGCAAGGAGATCAATACAAGCGTTAATTAGATGGATCTATCATCCAACCAGCTCTCTCCCAAACGACAACTCATTGACCCAGCACCAACAAACACTGAGAACTTGCATCGCAAAGAGATCCCTGATGAAGACCATGATCGATGTAGAAACAATATATTGTCTCTCTGCGCCTTAAACGATTGAAAAATCTTGTCGTCGATAGCTAGGCCATGAGCAATTTACGGAATGATATTGGAAACTGAATTAAACTCCAACACCATCACTCGTAAACACTCGACAGGGAACCAATTACAGTCAAAGTACCTCCATATATGCATGCATCGGCTGAACAAGAGTATACCAAAGCGCACCAACTATCCGATACGCAATACCAAGGTCGGTTATCATGACGGGAACTGACATGTAATTTGAAGAGGTTTGTACGCCCTTCAATGCTAATGGGTTATCAGCGGCTAGGATACATTTCTGTAGGCTAGGCTCATCCGAACTGAATATTCAGAATTTCCAATGTGGCCTAGCATTGTTGAGAGGAATTGTATAGCGACTATGACAATCAAGATCCCGCTTCGGTGGAGAAACCCGCATTCA